CCTTACAAATCGTTCTTGGAAGAGTCAGAGAAAAGATATGCAATGAAAGAAGCAGTAAAAGCAGCTGCCAAAGACTATGACAAAAAGCTAGAGGGGAAGGAGTTGGATCGTGAGAAGGATTTGAGGCATCTAAAGCTTGAATTCATTCTCCATGTCGACGGTCTCAAGCGAGAGAATGAAGAGCTGCAGATCACGATTGACGCCTTCCACATGCTGTTTGAGAAGATGGGCGGCGACCATGCCACAGAGATTGAGACACTCACCCAGGCGATGGAAATTCTCCAAAGTGACTTGAATGCCAAAAACAAGGAGCTCAAGGTCATGTATGACGCGCACGATTCTCTGGTCAAGAAACTCGAGGACGAGAGGGCGGAGTTACCGAAGAAGCTGTCCGACTCTGCGAAGAATGCGCTTGCTCTCCAGTCCAACGCACTCAAGTCATCTGACAAGGCCGTTGTTGCAAAAGGCCTTGCGTTAGTACACGACAGCCCTTACTACTTACATGGCTAACTCTGTTTAGATCCGTTCCTGCGCACCTCAAAGGCAAATCTGAACGCTTCGCACACTGCACCCAGTGCATGCGACACAACTGGGACTGCGACCGCGGGATTCTATGCAAGAACTGCTCGATGCGAGGCATCAAGAAAGGTTGCAGGCGAGTTGCGTGCGAAGACTACAAGAAGGGCATATGCAAGAACAGACAGTGCCGCTTTGCACATGAAGAAGAGATATACAAGCGCCTCGATCCTTCCGAAGATGTATGGGGTGATGGGCGTGAGCTGAGTCCCGTCGAGCTCGACAAGATGGGTGTTTGGTAGACGGACGATAGCTCGCTAGTACTACATGGCATGAGAAACGTTGAGACAGATGTGAGATAACACAGTATTGGGAATACAACATACAATTTGAGCTGTGTTACATGACAGGAAAGATGGCTTTGGAGGCGACAAGTGATTTTCGGTTGATGGACATGATCCTGCGCATGAGTTGTCACGTCCTGGGTCACATTGTACGCCTACATCTAGCGAGGTTGGCAACAATGTATACATATCTAGGGAGTCAACGCTCTCGGTTCTACAGCAAAGAGCTTGTTGAACATGTTCTGGGGGTCATACTTGGCCTTTAGGTCTTGCAAACGCTCGTAGTTGTTGCCAAAGACGTCCCTGGACTTCTCTTCATACTCTGTCTGGGCGTTAGCACACCGTTGCTTGCATAAGGATATCTTTCCCGTGTTCGCGTTATATAAGTGAGGAATTTCACGCTTTGGAGAGTACTTACGGTCGTAGTTCCCATACACCATTGTCGCTCCATGACTACCTCTCTTGCCAATCCACCCATCGTTGCTCGCCGCTGCCTCAGCGCCACCACGTTGAAGTTCATTCTTAAACAGAAGCGCAACATCCCTCGACCACTGCCTACACTTCTGATCGTTCTCCTGGTCCCACCACAAAGGCGCAACAGCCGCATTGAAGTGTCTTCCGCGGTTAGCAAAGGCCATGTCAGAGTTGGTGACTTCAACAATCTTCGTCGGGTCTAGTAGCTCCCACATAACCTGGGAGCCGACTGCATCGGACGTCTCGTCAGTGAATTTGGCGTACGCCTCCAAGACGGATACCACGAAGTCGCCACGGACAGGAAGCTCGAATCCAGCGCCCTTGATAGAGACACGCGCACCGATGGGTAGATCCATGAGTTTGTTTGCCTTGGCGTACGGCATCATTGCCATGGTACTCATCAAAGGTTCCAACCCAACGATGTCCTTGAACAGCTCTTTGCCATCTTCTTCCGACCCGTGAAAGATTGCGGCTACGAAAAACAGGACCTGGCCACCAGCAGGTGGAGGCCTGACGAAACCGAAAGCACTCGCAGCTTTCCCCGTCGCTTTTGAATTGCCAGCTGCATCCGGGGTGAAGATATCGTTGCATGCTTCCACGGCTTTCTTGATGATATCTGGCGTCGGTGGAAACATCATGAAGCCAGCCCACAGATCGCCTGTCTCATGGGTGCGGAATACAAACTCAATGCCAACACCAAAGTTCTGTCCCGCGCCGCGCAGAGCCCAAAATAGGTCTGGATTTTCATCGGTAGAGGCCTTGACGATACTGCCGTCCGCCAAAACGACAGTACATGAAATTAGGTTGTCAACAACCAGTCCGTGTTTGACTGTGAGCCAGCCAAAGCCGCCGCCGAACGTGAGACCACCGACGCCGGTATCTGAGACGGTGCCACCAACTGCTGCAAGACCGTACATTGCAAGAGCTTCGTCGACATCACCCCAAACGGCACCTCCGCCGACTTTGATCGTTCTTCCCTCGACGTCGACGTTGGTAGTACGCATATGCGTATTCAAGTCGATGAGTAGTCCGCCGTCCGTTGATGATGCGCCAGCAGTAGAGTGACCACCTCCTTTGACGGCGAGATCAAGATTGTGTTCGGTAGCATACTTGAGGGTGATTGAGATTGCTTCTTCCGATTTGGGGATGAGGCATGCTCCCGCGGGCTTCACCGCAGCACTTGACCATCGGTGGATGGATTTTGTGTATGCCTCAGTTTCCTTCGGTGTCACCAACTGGGCGTCTGTATCTCTCAGCAATTCGCGAAGTTCCGCGATGTCTGCTTCGTTGATAGGGCGTTTGGTAGCCATTGCGCAAAGAGTAGTATAGTGACAAGTAAAAGGGACGAAGGACAAATGTTATGGCGAATACTTGTACATATAGGGCTTCGCACGCTGGGTCCAACCTTGAGTAGACGAAGACGTGACGAAGCGGGGTCTACATTGGGGCGTAAGCTTACCACGCCGTTGACCGTCAGCAACGTAGAAATATAGCGAATAGCTGTCGCCGGTAGCTCGGCAGAAGTAAGGCCTACCATCGCCGGCCGTGTTGACAGGGAGCTCGACTGTATAACTGATATCGGACTGACCGTTCATTGGAGACGCCATCAGATTTCCGAGCCCACCAATGGCGCTCAGCTCGACCACACGTACACTACAGCCCATAAGGTCCCATTTCGTGCCCGATCTCGCACGGTTTCACTAGACTATCATCAAAATCTGTCGTAGTCCTGTTCTGGGCCTAGCATGGACGTCAGATATGTGAGCTGGTCAAGCGCGTGGCGCTCGAATCTCGAATAGCTGATGCAGTTGTGCTGGACAGTGCTCAGGTGAACATTCGGATGCCGACAGCCCAGGATAATGCGCCATACTCAAACAAACGTGTTTGCTGCTTAACCTGTGATGAAGCGCTGTCCGTAGGCTCTGGGGATGGCTGATCAAACATGGAGTCGGTGTTGCGATTCCGGTAACTCAATCAGACAACCTTGGAACCATGATCTGGAGGTCGACGGATGGGATAGAGGGGGAAATAATCGATTCAAGGGGGTGCGCACGAAGACTGTAGTTGATACCACGAAGCTGTCTTGATGGAAAGAGTCCGTCGAAATGACGCGCATAGGGGGGGTGGCGGGGTAGGGAAAGGGATCGGCAAACCTACCTAGGCAGTCACCCTTGGCAGTCGCGTCGCGTGTTGCGAGCTTCTTCTCACGTCCGACGTTCAATCCCATCCTGCATCCCTTTTATTTCCTGAGACACCATGCCTTCGCTCTCAATTTTCGCTATGTATCATGACTCCTGGATTCCCCGACTGGCGGCACGCGGACGAATGCAATGCTCATGACGTCATGTTGTCAGCGCACGCGAAGTCTGCCTCAAAGGCTGCACAGATCACGAACGATATCGCACGCGGTCGAAATATCATGGCGAAGACTTAGTATTGCGCAGGACTTTCACTGTGCGCATGCATATCATCTTGCGACATTGCGTTACGCGCTCAAAACCGCGTTGCGAGCCATGTCGGAGAGGATGCGACTCAACGCTAGCTCGACTTTCACTTCTCCGAGGTGCCTCACCAACCTTGATGGCGGCGAGGAAGAGGTCTTGATTACCGCCAGGTAGTGTCCTTGCATTTCGACCATCGAAAAACAGGGCTTTCTCTTGTATAGGCGTCCAGACACTGAATATACTGTAACGGTTACGGTACAGTCTAGGTGATGCTGGCTTCAATGCATTGCACAGCACCGTAAACGCATGGCAGGTACAATCTCACAAAGCTCTTGCTCTGCCCGTCTATTCATCATGTTTCTTTCCAACGGATCCTGCTTGCGACCGTAAATTTGAAGTGGTTGGGAGTTTTGTATTCGTCTCAGCGAGGATGGCGAGTGGTGTCTAAAAGTTTTAGACGGCAAGACAGATACTGCATCTGCAGAGATCTCTTTGGTATTATCGTACGGTCGATTTCATGTTTACGAAATGGAGGGATTGTGAGTATTGCGCCTGGGCAGCATCTTCTCTCTAACCCAAGGTCACATGGTCGGCTTTGCGAGGTCGTCATCGCCGGCAATATCGTGCTGCCTTCACCGAACAGCTCTACCTCGTTTACCATTACTGCACGCTTACCTGGTTCGCATTTATAACTCATACCCTCGACTGCACGCTGAGTTGTGTGGCCTGCTGCCCTCCGCGAGGCGCGATCTTGGACATTGTGTGCCGCCTAAATCCTCTGTCACCTACGATTTTTCAACCACAGGACTGACCCATCGCTTCCGCGCACAACAACAACCACCACCACCAATTTTCTCATTCTTGGTACCCGAACCAAGACTACAGACTTTTTCGCGACTCGATAGCGCAGCACATCTGCAGCCGACCTCTGCCAATCCTAAGGAGAAGCCATCTTTAAGCACCGCAGTCGCCTTCACCTTCACTGGACGCATTCAATCCGACGCTCACTTTGACTTTCGCAACAAGATTGCGACTAGCGCCAAAATACCACCTCTACTCGCACTTTCCTGCACTGTTTACCTACGTCTCACCTCAACCTTTGTCTACTTACCACAACATTATCTCACGATATCATCGCATCAGTCACACATTGCTACCCCGCGCGTTGATCGTGCATTTTCATTTCATACCGATTACCTGCACCCGGATTGCTCTTACTGTCATGGCGCCCTCGGCTCTCACCTCCCAAGGGAGCCCGTCGATCCCCGAACCCGCAAAGCCACAGCAACCCACTCCAGAAACGTCCCAGGAAGCTACCTCGCCCACGGTCTCACTTTCCGAAGAGAATTTCGCCCTTAAGCAGCGCCTTGCTCAGTATGAACTAGCCAAGAAGCACCTTGTCGAAGAAGTCGCGGATGGGAAGCAAAGAGTCATTGATGCCGCGAAGCGTGCTACTGCCGCCGAAATCGAAACGAAAGCAGCAAAGGCACGCGCTCAAAACCGCTATACAGAGAAGATGCACGCCAATAACGAGAACCGTCACCTAAAGAAAAGAATCGATACGATGGACAAGGAGCGTGCGGACTTCATTGTTGGTGTTAATAGCATTCTTCAGGGTCGCGACGAGATGATAGCTAAGCTCGAGGAAGAAAAGGCTAGTGGAGAATGTTCTAAAGAAGAACTCATTGAGAAGTTCACAAAGCAGGTGGATGTCTTTCAACAGGGCTACCTCGCGTCTGAACGTGATAAAGAGAAGGATAAACGTGATAGAGAGGCGGAGAAACGTGAAAGAGAGGCGGAGAAAAAGGTGTCTGATAAGATCATTGGCCAGCTTAAATCCGACAGGGACACGCAGGGCAACGTCAACAAAGATCTGAAGAGCGTGATCGCACAATTACGACAAGAAATCGCCACGGAGAAAGAGAAATCGAAAGCCGCAGCCGATGCGTCGACCATGGCTCGCGTCGCTGCTGCCAAGGCTGATGGGTTCAAAGAAGCCACCATAGCAAAGCAGAGTGAGAACGCTGAGTACCGAAAGACAATAGAAGAAAAGGCGACCGCACATGTCGCATGGATGAAGAAGGGCATTGAGACGAAAGCGAAAGAGCACGTACAGAAAAGAGAGGCTGAATGGCGTTCAGAGCAGACTAGTCTCATACAGAGGGCTTCTGCAGCTGAAGCTGCGCTGAGTGCTGCCAATACCAAGCTTGCGATAGCCCAGCAACGGCCTACAGCAGCATCAGTATCGCACCCTGTGCCAAACGATGCTCAGAGGCCTCCCAAACGGAGCCAACCGACTTCTTCGCAGGGAGCATTCGACTCTAACAAGCGAAGGAAGCTTGACGCAGCTGGGTAAGTTCTACATCGTTTCTATGAGTGAAGCTATTGCTAATACACACAGTGCTGCCGGTATCACTACACCAGACTTCAAGCGTACGCACTCGAACTCACTTCCCTCTGATACCAATGCCATGAGCCCTTTGTCAACCACATGGTCAAACGGCAATACTATCATGGGCGACACACAAATGCAGAGGCAAGCTCGACATGTCGCACCCAATGGCATGTATGGACGAAGCTCGTCACAGCAGTCGAATGGCTCAGCAGGGCAGATGGCACCCGCCCGGCGTCCTTCTCAACAGCCTGGTGCCATGATGGCCGCGCCTCCAGGACGCACACCCAGCAACATGTCACCCCAGCAGCAGCGACACTTGATGCAGAACTTGGCTGCGGGTAACGCCGGCAGTCAATCACCTAGATTCCCTCAACATAACTTAGGCCTGATGCGCACATCTCCGCAGGTCGGTCGACAGATGGGAAGTGGTCAGCATATGACCAATCAGGCCGGGAACATGAACTCGTACGACGGAGACTTAATGATGCAACAGATGCAGCGAGATGCTCAGTCGCAAATTCGGTCACAGATGTCGACACCGGCGCATGGGTCTATGAGACGTACACCTTCGTACGGCTCAGCTTCTTCTGTGGCGTCGCCTCGACCTCACGTCGCGCAACACTCTTCGAGTCAATTTGCACCCCCCACTGGGCAAAACTGGAATATGAGGCAGAACTTTGAGCAGCAGAACTTATCAACAAATGGTACGAACCAGAGAGTGGCGGGAAACTACGCTCCCATCATGGAAGAGTTGGATTCGAATTTTGCCTTCGACGTTAACGCACTTACGGGAGATGTTGGTGCTGCTTACGTTGGTTCTCAGCCAAACCTCGGAGACACATATGATGTCAGCGATTGGTTTCCCACAGAAGATAACAACACTCAAACGGCCTTCAACTCGACTCTCCCTTCGAATGGAACGCCTCCGATGCACCAAGCCGACTTCCAGCAGCCTCAACAGCGCAGCTACCAAACCCATTCACGCAATCACTCACAACCGTACGAGAGTGGTTCAAGAGACATGTCTCACGGGTCCGAGAGCCTGCAGAATGAGCCCACCATGGACATGAGCAGGAACGGTTCACGCCAGCCTTCTGTTTCGGGACGAGCGACTCGAGCTTCTTCCCGCTCTACACCTGGACCTTCTGCACCTTCTGGACGATCGAGGCGCAAGACGCCAGGTCCGGCGGAGCCGACCCGAGTCCCATGTGTGAACTGCTACCGTCACTGGTGGGAAGGCGAATGCGACGAAGGCGCGCCATGCTCAAACTGTGCTGCATCAGGAACCAAATGTGTGCGGCAGAAATGCTTCAACTATGCTGCCGGCACTTGCGATAAGGGCTATAGGTGTCCCAACGTACACGAAGGAGACGAGAGTTACCAGAACGAGGAGTTCCTTGTAGCCCAGACCAAGGCGGGCAAGCGGCCTTCACGTTTGGGTACGAAGGCGGACGCGAAGCCGGCGCCGAGCCAGGGTTAGGATGCTTGACCTATTTGATATATCTTGAGGGTCAACATGCTTGCCCGCAACTCCGCATGGTTGTTGCATTCTGGCGGCGTTGAAGGGGGTTGGTTATGTTTGTTTGGATCGAGTTTGCTATCTTTGATGTATTCCCCTCCACCCTGGCTTGACAGCCCTATTGAGTTCCAGCCGCCCGAAAGGGCAGGCTCTCATAGGGCTGAACATAGCCGGGTGGAGGTGGATGTTCTGGCCTTGGATCGCTCACAGCGTTGTGTTTTCTTTATTGTTTTCTTTGGGCGACTTACTACGGGTGCTCCCACAGTGATTGGAAACTGTACCATGTACCGAATCTGTAGTATCATGGAACCTCGATGATGCATCTTATCCTGTGCACTTCGAATGCTTCACCACCCTTTAACATGCAGTCTCGCGCTTGTGGTAAAAGAGAAAGTCTTCGAGACCATCTCTTTTGAGTTAACATCCTCATGGACTGTAGTGTGGGAGTCATCTCCAGACTGTAATCAGATCTGGCGGTGGCAGCTCGTGGTATCGACTGTAGCAAAATCATCGCAAGCGTGCCAGATGTCGCGATGTTATACACTGAGGTTTGCGCGCCGCGCGCGGGGCTTCGATAATCACCTACGCCGGTGGCGGACATGCGCTATTCCAGATACGATCTAGCTTATCAGAAATTCAGGGTTTTCAAGCTTCACCCCACATCATCGACGAACCAAGCTCGGCTTGGCTATAGCTTGCATGTCTTACTCGCGCCTCTTTCCACTCTTTCCAATCATCGGCACTTCTTTGCATGCGGAGTATCCATTGCGACCGCGATCCTTCCGACATTCCGCGCCGTTAGAGGCCTAGGCTCATGGTGCACCTTCACCCCATGCACTGCTAGGAGGTTATCTCCGACCATGACGAATCGCCAGGGTACGCTAAGCGACTACTTACCCGGCTGAAAAAGCTTTAAGTCGCGCAATGTTGGACTCTGAATCTTTTGAGTTCCTTTAGACATTACGTCCATTTCATTTCACATTCATGGCTTCAAACGAGCCAGGCCTTGCGCCTCTCAGTGCGCCGGCTGAGGACCCGATCAAGGGAGCTGTCGGCGTACCCGTCGATACAGACACCCCCGTTGCACCGGACCAGTTCGACGAGCGTTACGAGACATCGAAGTGGGAGATCTGGTCGTATTACTGGTATGCAAACTATTCCAGCGCAGGGACTGATTTGGAGCGCGGTACATTGACTGTGCTGAGGCTGACATCCTAATTTCGAACAGCTACTACGTCGGAGACAATGGCCTCACTCTATTCAACTTCGGTCCGACGGCTTTCCAAAATCTCATGTATGAAGCTGCAGGAGACTCCGAGGTGCTGTACTTCATGGGCCGAGACCGTACCATCAACTCCATTGTGCTTCTCTGCAACGGCATCAGTTTCGCCATCCAGGTCGTCGTTTTCTTGATCCTCGGTTCATTCGCCGATTTTGGTACATGGCGCCCCAACATCCTGATAGGGCTGTCCGTCATTGCTTTTGGAATCGGCTTTGGCTGGTTAGGCGTTCATACCGAGGATAAATGGCACGCCGGTGTGGGTCTCTATATCGTCGGTCTTATCGCATACCAAACGACAATCACATTCTGGACTGCTGCCTTCCCTGGGCTGGCAAGGAACACCAAGGAACTGCGAGTTAAAGCCGAGGAGTTCGCCGATGGAACGATTACCCGCGCAGAGTACGATTTTGCCGATATGATGAAGCGAAATGAGCTCTCCAACACAGCGTTCTACGTTCAATCCGTATTTGAGATCCTCATCCTGGCTGTTATCGTGGGCATCATGTTCGGTCTGCACGTCAATGACAGCGCGGAGAACAACAACTGGGGTCTCTCGGTACTCATCGCTTTTGCGACCGGAGTTTGGATCTTATGCGCTCTTCCGTGGTTCATCCTCGAGAAAAGACGACCAGGCCAGGACCCAGGACGCGCGAACATAGTCCTAGCAGGTCTCAAACAGCTCGGATACGCGATGCGACAGATCTGGCAGTTGCGCCAAAGTCTGGCATATCTGGCGGGCTACTTTCTCCTCGGCGACAGTCTCAACACCACCGTGACGGTTATCGGGACTCTACAGAACGAGATTGTTGCGTACAACAGTCTGCAGCTTACCTACCTGCTTATTGTAGGTATCGCTGCCCAGGCAGTTGGTATCGGCGCCTTTTGGCGCATCCAGAAGTATTACGGTCTTTCCACCAAAACCATGTTCATGGTTGTCGCCATATGCATCGTTCTGCTCGACGGCTGGGGCATGATCGGCATCTGGACGCAGCGCTTCGGTTTCCACAACAAGTGGGAGGTTTGGGTATACCAGGCCTTCTATGGATTGCTTGTCTGCCCGTGGTACAGCTATTCGCAGACCATGATCTCCGAGGTTACACCGAGAGGGAAAGAGTTTCTTTTCTTCAGTTTGTTCTCAATCGTGGGAAAGACGAGTGCTTTCATCGGCCCACTGGTGAGCTCTGCCATTATCGATGATACTGGCAACAACAGCAGTCCTTTCTATTTCTTGTTCGCGTTGAGCCTGGTTAGCTGTGCCTGGCTTTTCTTCTTTGTAGACGTTGAGAAGAGTAGGATTGAGCAGGAGACCTTCCTGGAGAGGGAGAAGAACACCAAGATGCACAACGAGGATGCTGAGAGTCTTACCTAGTCATCTAGTAACAATTAATTTGCCTCGTTCTCGAAGAGAGTTGCTAGTTCGATTGCTATACACAAGCCATTCGACAAACCCTGATGATGACGATACCTGGCCGCCCAATATTTCTATACATACAGATTCGACTAAACAAGACATTCGCAAGTAATAGAATAGGAGCACACCGCTGTATAATTGCGGGTGACCGTGTGCTCACATCATTGTCCAGGCGGGGCTTCAACTCAAGTTCACAGTGCCCGTGTCTCAAGCTCACAACTGTCTGAGACTCGGCCATATCTCTTCAAGTCCTAGCTATTCCCATCGTATCACGTTGGTTCACACAATCATTCGACGATTCAGTCTTACCAGCCATCGACATCATCAAGACCAAGCACAGCGCACAACATCTAAACAACTACAGACAAACAGCAATGACATTAACCTCCTGGCTAACAAGCTCCCCCGAGCAACCCACCGATACCACCGACCCCAACAACTTCTCCTCTCTCGTCAACAAAATGAACCTCGCTTCCATAAAAGCTGACGCCGAAAATAGCTACAAAGAAAAGTACCTTCGACTCCGCAGGCAAATCGACTCAGACACCGTTCACAACGACCTTCGTGCTGAGATTGCCTCTCTCTTAGCCAACAAGACAAGATACGAGACCGAGCTCCGAGACACCGAAAAGGCGAAAACGAGCGCAGACATGCAGGTCGTTGCCCTTGACCTTGTGATTAAAGACACAAACGTGTACTACAAGTCCAAGCTGGAGACTGTAGAAGCGCAGAACAAGGTTCTTAAGGAGGAGAATAAGAAGCTAAGGAAAAGTGAGCAGGAGATGAAGTCTTTGCTTCTCTTGCATGAGATCTGTGTACCAATACAAGGTTCTACGAATGAAGACACGCAGACTCTGGAATCAGAGTTTGATATGGAGCTGTTGGAGGGTAGCGGTATTGACGACGATTGGCGGACTGAATCTAGTGATTTGGGTACGGACTCGACGGATGTCTGCCCTCAGTGGTATAACTATGGTAGGTGTAGTCGGGATGGCAGTGATGCTGCTGAGAAGTGTGAGCTTGGTGTGCATCCACGTCTTCTTAACTTCGGTGCAGGTTTGAAGGAGTACATGTAGTAGTATTTTGGGTAGTGGAGATGGGCGATGGTATGCACAGTGTGGTTGGATGTGGCGAACACGACTTGTTTTCTAGAATGCGCACGCCTCTATGTTATGATGAATATCTCCTACATCATCATACAAACATCCGCTCCCCTACTCCCCCAACACCTCTCTAACCCTCTCCTCACTCGGAAACCTTACCTCCTTCTCCGCAACCATATCAATCAGCTCTTTCATCCGTCTCCATTCCTCCCCCGTTACATTCTCCAACCTTCGATCAATATCCGCGCCAAACCTTCCCCAGAACTTCGCAAAACTCGCCGACTCATCCTGCAGATACTGGCCCTTATTAATAACAAGAAAATTCCTAAACGCGTCCCACCAGGTCATCGATTCCTTGGCCACAATCACATCTTCCAATACGTTCGTCTCTTGTGATGACGCTCGACCTGCATTGTCGAGCATGTATATGAGCTCGTAAGTATATGAGCGGTCGGCGCCTTTTGCCATGTTGTCAGGGTCCAGGGTGGCGCGGTCGAAATCGATCAAGACGATGGTTGGGAATGTGAAGTTGGCTTCTTTGTTGGAGGCGGATACGTCGAGCATTACGTTTCCGCCAAAGACGTCGTTGTGGGAGATGTTGGGGACGTCGTGGAGCCACCCGACCGCCTCCGTTAGCTGTTTTGCGACATGTAGTACGAGTACCTCCGGTATCGCGGGGAAGGGAAAACGGAGAGTAGTGTCCATTTCTGACGAGGGTTGAACTGCCGAGGTGACGACGACTCGAAGGCGCTCAAGGTCAAATCCGCAGACGGGACTAACGGCCAGCCAGCCAGACCCACCGTCCTTGACTGCATCGTTGTTAATGAGGAGAGGAAGGTGCTTCACCACGGTGTTGTTCTTATCCGCGGCGAAAAGATTGCGGATGCGTTCGAGAGCGATGATTTCATCGGCTATCCTGTCGCGACACATCTCTCGACTGATCATCTTGACGGCGACAAGGGCTGCACTCTGCGCCACAGAGCTAGTCGTGGATGAGCTTGCAGCCGACGATGTGCGTACACAAAACGTGATACTTCCGCACGTACCTTTGCCTGCTTCGCGGATCGGGGTGTACAACTCGTTAGTCTCTTTATAAATCGATTTGGGGTTCATGTCGTCGTCAGATGTTGCTGTGGAAGCGTACGCCGCTCACTGTATGCGTCAATCGAAGAGTCGCTCGCGAGCAGAATCGCCATGTAGTCTAGGCAATAATGAATGCGCTGAGTGTCAACGCCAAAGAGCAGGATCTATTGACAGTGAAAGGCGCGGATGCGATGCTACGGTAGGCAACAAGCAAAGCTGGAGAACCCTTCACTACGTCTAGCTCTGTTCAGCGATATTGTCTTGAAGGGTCTGAGACTTCTCACCGTGTCCATGTGTCGTTGTTAGGATCTAGCAGATTTCCGTGGTCACCTCGAAACACCGAATAGCAGATAACGGAGCTGAGGAAGCTGCGCCAACAAAGGAGTGAATCAGGAGTAAGAAACGTAGTGAAGTCTGTATTGAGGCATCAAATAGGTGCCCAAGGTGTCCCATGGGTCGTATTGTACATAGTCGCATCTTCCACGACTGTCTCGTACTAGTATACATTGTTGGCTTGCTTTTGGCTTGCAAAGTGGGCTTCCAACAAAGGCTCATCCAAACAGGCAAGCCAGACCACCGTCGTCAGCACCACTTGGCATTGGTGGACGAGAAATGTGCCATATTTCCTATCAGGTGGCATTGGTGCCTACTGGGGCTGAGTCCGGTTTCCTCCAGGAGCGTCCGGGATGTAGAAGATGCGCGAAAGAAGCGCTGCGCTTGCTTCGTCGCGATGGACATATAACTTCTGTCATGTTGACATGTCTGCATCAAGGGTTCAAGGGATCGAATTCCGTAGTGTCCTTCCCCCAAATCTCGATGTGATTCACATCTTCCCTTCTCACAACCGTCACTTTTCTTATTGGTCCTGCTCTTTTCGCGTTCATACTGTTGTCCTGGGTGTTCGGTGTCGACTCCTTCTTTGATGGGTAGTAAACGTCGCCTAGCTTGAGCACGATGCTGTCGCCGTAGCCAACGTACTTGATGTTCTTATACTCCGGTCGCCAAAACTCTGTTCCAATCGCGAAGGCATGCATCTCCGCATCCGTGATTTGATACGGCGCCTCGCTTGTGTCAGAGCTTGGGCGGAATAGAAAACGGACGGCCCAGAGCTTGGGCACTAGAGCAAAGACCTGGCGCAGAGACTCAAGCGGTGGCACTGAGCAAGCGAAGCCAACTTGCTCCAAATTAGAGCACGTTTGGCAAAGTCTGAACAGGGCATCGTCGGATAATACCCAGCGATCCGAGAGAAGGAGATGGCGAATGCTGTGGTTGTGATTGGTTTGAATGGCCGCAATAAACTCACTCCCGATGCTGCGACAGCGTTGCTCATTCGTGTGTTTTGGAGTGCTGCTCGCGCTAGAGACTCCAATGACACCCGGCGTCATCGTGGACGGTGTTGTTGGGGTTGCAGCAGCGCTGGTAGTTCTTGGTGAGTCTTTGCCTCGCCTATTGCTCACAATGTAAAACCGCTCCATGCCCTTGAATTTGCCTAGCATGACAGCGCTCTCTTTATCCGTATTATCGGTGCGCATGACCTTCAGGTTGTGAGGCGTCGGGTGATTACTGTGTATCCTCCAAGAGTCGTCGGCAAAAACGGTCATAGGGTCCGAAGAGCCCATGGCGTTGATCAGGGTGAGCTCTGTATTGGTGTCGGGGCGGATAACATGGTGGAAGCCATCGTCGGAGAAGCGAGTGTAGATGTTGTATATTCCCAGGTGCTTAAGAGGTATAGAATACTTGGCAGACATGCATCGTCCGAATAACGAGTGCAGCGAAATCGACTCTTCGCCTACAGCCCGCATGCGCGGACTCCAGTGTAATGTGAGGTGCTCGAGCTTTTTGGAACCCAACAGAAGCAGCGAGATATCGTCGGGGTAGCAGAGAGGATCGATATCGTACACGATCAGAGTGGTCAGGTTCGGAAGCGGAGGTATAATGGTGGTCGGCCGTGGTATTCGTTTGGTTTGACACCGAAGGGTGAGCGAGACAAGCGTCGTCCTGGCTGCGATGCCCTGGTAGACGGTATACAAAGGAGGAGTGCTCAGCTCCCAACTGGGCATATCAGCATTTGTCCGATATGATTCTGGTACGACACCTACGCGAAAGCCTTGAGGTTCTTCATCTTGTCAATGGCGGCACGCATGACAACCTGCAGTATCATGCTGTTGTCCGGCACTCGGCCCTGCTTGTATTCCTCCGTATCATGTTCTCGCCAATCGCCTTTGACCCGGAACGTCTGTATGTAGTCGCCAAAGTTTCGCGACACGAGCGTGTTGAGGCCCATGGCAAACGGGCTGCCATTGCCGTAGCCTTCTGGCCTGCCATCTACGTATCGTATCTCGGCATACGAGTGTAACGTGACCGTCTCGTAGAGCCGCGGAAGCGTCATGTAGTAGAACAGACGCGACGTGCGCGTGATGCGCGCGAGGTCACCGACATCGTCGAGCTTCCGTGCGTGTTAGTATAGCTCGGTTGGGGCAGCTCGTCGCGTGGCAGGGCGCAGACCAACGTACGTGTGTGAGGATGAGCTGAATCAGGTGCAAGGGCAGCTCTTTCGCCTGCGCTAAGTTGCTGTGCGTCCGCGCGGGCGAAGTGAACCAGGTGTGCAGCGGCGCGGCCATGGCTCTATTGCTACCCTCTTGCAGCAACAAGGCATCGCCCGAGAGACGCGTGCGCTTTGGGTCCGACATGAGGCTAGATCAAGGGGACACATGCGTGATACAAACAAAAAAGGGTCCGTACTATCATGGCGGAACTCACAGCTTCATGGCGCATGCATATACGGTCATCATGGCTCATACGTCGTGCTGGCGAGGCGCGTCGGAACTTTTGCTCAGACGCCCGAATGTCCGCTTCGTCCACCACGCGCGCCCGCATTGGTCCGGCTGCTCCGGGAAGACTCGGTTCACTCCTGGGCTGATGATCGACACCAGGCATCGTCTCCAATCACGTGCACTGCAATACGGTATATACGGTCTGCGTCAGGACCCTGCAAAGCCTCGCATTACTCTCTGTTTGGGTTCAAGTCATCGCTATATGACTGAGGTATGCGTGGTCCCCCTGTATGCGTGCAGCCAGAAAGGTTCTGCTGGGCGGAAATGTCTCCGATCACGACATGCGCACCAAACAACTTAAATATCCAGCGGTTCCGCCCGGAGAACCAAGTTTTCGGAGTCCCCGTTTGCACCGATGCAACTAAAGTCCGCTCATGACCTGAAGAACCAGGGCTGTTTACCCTTGTATTCGTCCGCAGGAACTCGAAAAGGGACCTCAATCGTGCCGTCGAACACGCTCATCGGTGGTACGTCATCCTGCTTGAGACTCTGAAGCTTTGACTCTGGCACAGGCATGACAACACCACACTCCCAGTTCCTGTGATGTTTCATACCAAGTCAGTATATGTCACATGCAAATCAAATGTGTTTTTTGCGTACCTGATGTTCAGACTCCCCATTTGCCCACTTTTCAATATCTTCTGCCCTCCCCACGCTGATTCAGAGATATTGGCAGAGCCGACGTAAACCCAGGCAAAGGGCTTTCCATTCTTCCTACGACCTCGCGCGAAGAGCAATTTGTTGTGCGATAGCATCCCCCGTCGCATCGAGTCGTAGTCTCGCATGCATTCTCTTGGGAACGATGGTGCGTTGTAAGCTTGTCTTGTCAACGTAATGATACCGGCACCATCAGGACCGCCCATGCTCTTTTCAACCGTGTCGTTGGTAGGAAAGTATATGCGAAAGCAATCGCGCACGTTGGAATCCGGTGCAGTGTCTGTCCCGAACGACTTGCCGCATGCTGCGAGACGGATGCGTGACAAGAAGGCATCGTTGATGGAACCGAGGGAGGATGCTGCATAGTCAAGCTCGATACATGCGACGTCGTCTAAATGAAGCTCTCGTATAGCGTGCGCGAGGCCAGGGAGACCCGTAGGATGAACTGATTCAGTCTTGTGCGAACCACCACTAATTCGGATTAGCACTGACCCTCAAGAAATGTAATCAAGAACATACATGGAATGTACAAAGGCCAGATGACTCGTCTTCGAGAAGTCGCATCTCAACAGGCCGGTGATGACCTGTGGACCCACTTCCTGCTGCTCCAAGAAGTATACCAACTCGCGACCAAAAGGTGTCAAGTCTTTCGCCTCCGTGACAGTACCGTCATGTCTGCGAGGGAGGTCTATCAAGAACACCGAGTTCTCCATGATGCCGGGCTGCCAGTCGTTTGCGACCTCGCCCCAGTCGGTCTGTGTCATGTTTGCAGTCGGAATCGCAATGCGTAGCTTGTCTTTTCCGAACAAGAGCATGAATTTGCTGTGCATGCTGGCTATCATGCCACCCATAGGCGGGAAATGGAGCTTCATGTTCGGTACGCGAGACTCCCTCCACTCTTGTATGCGCTTTGCCTGAACGTCCTCGCCTCTGTGCTTGCCAGTCATCAGCCAGATCTGCTTGACCTTTGTCGGATCAAGTTTTTCGTATAGCCATCCCGAATCGTACTGAAATGAGCTGATGACTGCGGTATTGACTTTATCGGCTTCTAGTAGTTCTTCAATAGTGATGTCGTCGGTTCGTGGGTATTTCGACGCGAAAGTGCGCTTGATCGCGCCATTGGGGTATTGTAACGGTGTTTCGTCCGAATCACATTTGGCGGCAGGCGTTCTTACAACTTGCTTAGAAGGTATCTCAGGAGATACCTCCCGCTTCCTTTTGCCAAGCCTTGCGAGACGCTCCAGTTCCATGGCTTTCCGATCCATACCCATGAAACCTGGAGGTTTGTCGACGGCGGCTGCTGTTTTGATCACACTCGTTGGCGGTGCGCTCGAAGCCGATGACTGTTGCACGTCATTATTTGCGCTTTCCTGCATCGATAAGGCAATCGCACGCCGGAGATCGTCGTCATCTTCGTCCTCAGTGTCAGATGTGAGGTCGATTGACTCGTGCTTATCGCCCGATGCGCTGTCGCGTGCAGCCCGAGGCGAATTCGCCTGCAAGGACATTGCCATCGCAAGCTTGAGATCTTCATCATCAGAATCCATGTGTCCAAGAGTCAAGATGTGGTTGTTATGGAATGTTGGTGATTGGGTAAACAAACAGATTCGTTGAGAAGCGGAAGCGATCCGGCATGGCAGGACCCCCGGGGCCTGAACGCGCTGTCGCGAAAGCATGTGACCAAGGCTTGGCAACCTATATGGATCATCACGGCTTTGAGCTCAGCCTGCTCTGTTACACCAACGAAGATGCGCCTAAAACGATTTTATTCTCCCATATAGACTACTCATATCTTCTACAACAGTCGTTCACTTGGTTTTGCCGTCGACAACCCCGCCCGTCCGCCGCACGTTGCGAAACACCACCAGATATCCCAGATCAGCCAGGATCCAAGTTACCATCATCACCAGTGATATCGGATTGACATAGTAACCATGTGCCTCTGGCCATACCCACCAAACATATCCGTAATTCACCGTCAACCCCGACACACTGCCGATAAAACGGCACGCCCAAATGCTGTACGAAGAGCCGCGACTGCTTCCTCTGACCACAAGCTGTGCCAATGACATGACGCTCAGCACGACCTGTGCAACCATAGCAGTCCAGTAACCGAGCTCGTCCTTGTCGATGCCCAGATTGCCGCGGTACGCTTTTCCAACTTTTGGGTTGACGGGGTGATCTACATCAAGCCACCATGAGCTCACAGCATACAACGCGATGCACCACCATACCAACATGCCAGCAAAGATCTTGCCGATATGTCTGCCAACTGCTGGCGCATGTTTCCATTCATTGGCGCCATATGTGACAGCCGCATAGACAATGCCCATGTCTAAGAGTCCCCATATGGCGAAGAGGGCCTTCTCCCGGAGCTCATCGGCAACGTATATCGCGAATACAATCTCCCACGCAAAGTCTGAACGTGGGTGTACCGGGTCAGTATGTCTCACATGCAGTGCGTATGGAAGCACCTACTGAATGCGAGCGAGAAGAGCGGCATGGCGTATGTGCGGTCGCGAATGGACTGTCGCGCCATCAGGGCGTAGCAGATTGTGTACAAGATACCGCCGGTGCCCAGGAACACATCGTTCGCGTCGAAGATGGAGGGGTCGACGTGCGCGGGCAAGATGTCAAGGCGGCCCATAATTGCGAGTTGAAATCAAAGAAGAGATGAGTAGGCGTAACATACGCAGTGAAAGGGAGTCTGAGATGTGTCGTGAGGGGTGGGGCCCCTGTCATCACGAGCCTAAGTAGCGCTTATGGTTAGTTCGTAAGGGTGAGGTGTCATTCGGACCGCTTCCGGGCTCCAGCAAACTTGTATACGCCGGCCGTTCATATTCGTGCTTTCAACTGCAATGCGACATTGTCACATGCAAGATGTTTGTGTGATTCGGTACATTGCAGTGTGGTTTCCAACGCGGATTTTATTTCGGCTTTGGCGATCTCTGACTATCCCCCGTGTAGCGTAGATACGAACATGATGTGATCGCCTCTCTGAACCTCGTACTTGTCTTCACCTTCCAGCTCCCAGTCTGCTTCATTGATGAGGACCAGTATTCCAGGTCGTCTGAAGCTAATGTCAGCATGTCATTGTTCTCTTAGGGCAGGAACATACACAGTATCGTCAAGCACGAAAAGTTCTTTCCGCGGATCCTTCATGACCTTGTCGCAAAGGTATCTGACAAGGAATGCAACGTTTGCTGGCTCTCCAGACTCATCTTTCGCTGGTAGGGCAAGATCATACTTTTTCTGGTTGGCGAACAGGATCTCCAAGCCCCCGCTGTAGAAGATTAGAGAGGAACATCGCCATTTCGCAGGACAACCGACCTACCTGAACTCTATCGTTATTGGGATCGTCTCATTGTTTGACATTTCGTCTCTGCTCGTCTGTAAGATGCTAGAGTTGTGAAAGATTCGGATGTTATCGAGATCGGTTGCGCCTGCTCTGTAGCCCTGAGCCAAATGCAGCTAAGCGAGGCTAGCGCCAAAGAAATCCTTACGGCGATGACTAGATGCGGTGCCTGCGCATACGCAACGCCTAGACCCAACAATGAACATATCTACTGAGTTCATCGCTGCAGGTGGCAATCGAAATCCAGCTGCCGCTGACTGGGATGAGGCCGGGTCGCAACTGCTAGCGTTCGGCGCAGACAACTGCATCGCACTCTGGGATCCTCAGGTGAGTCGCGGCTGGCCAATGACACAACCTTCACTCACCAAGATAGGACGAAAGTCTTCGTGGCGTGCAAGCAATTCTGAGTGGGCACATCAAAGCTGTGAACGCTGTCAAATTCTTTCCAACACAATTGCCCAATGTCTCAGTCCTGCTCAGTGGATCGGCGGACAACACAATCCGCATATGGCGAGGCCGAAGAGGCGAATCTTTCGACTGTGTCAAGACGATTTCAGATCACACTCAGCCAGTCACCAGAATAGCAGTACTGCCTGGCTCGGACAATTTTGCAACTGGATCTTCAGACGGCACTGTCAAAATCTGGAAGCTTGTTCGTGATGCAGACTTCGGGTCCGTCGATGTCGAGCTTGTACAGACCATCACACTATCGCCAAAGTACTTCCCTCTGAACCTGGCACTTGCGACTCTTGACGAAAAATCTACAGTGCTAGCAGTTGCGGGCACACGTAGCACCATTCAAGTCTTCGTATCGCACGAAGGCCAATTCCAGCTTTCGGCAACTCTTACCGGTCACGAAGGATGGATACGCGCGCTTGCATTCACTAGAGAAACATCTGATCTGAACAGCGATTTACTGCTGGCATCCGCAAGCCAAGATAAGTACGTCCGTCTCTGGCGCCTCCACCGTGGAGATGAGCTTCCTGCTGCCAGTACTGCACTCAACGACCCAGCGTTAGGTGGATTGGGCAAGTCTCTGTCGAACAAAGCACATTGGATTAGCTCTGCTACTTCCAAGTACTCCATTACATTCGAAGCGTTGTTACTAGGACATGAAGATTGGATATACCAGGCCTCGTGGAGACATCGCGAGGGGAAGCTCCAATTACTCACCGCTTCGGAAGATAACTCACTCGCCATCTGGGAGTCCGATCCTAATTCTGGTGTGTGGATTTGTATCACTAGGTTAGGAGAGATCAGCGCACAGAAAGGCTCGACCAGCGCTACTGGAAGTGCTGGAGGTTTCTGGATCGGCCTCTGGTCGCCAGATGGCAACACTGTGGTATCACTAGGGCGAACTGGTAGCTGGAGGAAGTGGACGTACTCGGCCACGGAAGATATGTGGACGCAGCAAGTAGCCATCACAGGACATGTGCGCGAAGTAAAAGGCGTGAGCTGGTCAAGAGATGGATCTTACATGCTCTCCACTGGTTCCGATCAAACCAGTCGGCTCTACTCGCAATGGAAACGAGAAGGTGCACCAGCATCATGGCACGAGTTCTCGCGGCCCCAAATCCACGGCTACGACTTGAATTGTATCGACGCGGTCTCCAACACTCAATTCGTCTCGGGCGCAGACGAGAAGTTGCTACGTATTTTCGACGAACCTAGAGGTGTAGCGGAGATGCTTCAAAATCTCTGCAGTATCAAGGCGTCAACTACTGCTGAGCTTCCGGATGCAGCCAACATCCCCGTCCTTGGTTTATCGAATAAGGCTATTCAAGCTGTGGGAGACGACGAGCCAGTCGAGAACGGTGACGAAGACGAACGTGAAGCCGTCGACCCTGCCTCCGTCATTCGTAAATCGACGCTGGACTTCAGTCACCCACCATTCGAGGATCATCTGGCACGCCACCTACTATGGCCGGAGACAGAGAAGCTATACGGACACGGCTATGAGATCTCTGCTGTTGCAGTGAGCCGGGATGGAAGTCTCGTTGCAACGGCCTGCCGAGCTAGCTCTATTGACCACGCCGTCATACGGCTTTACGACACGAAAGAATGGCTAGAAGTCAAACCGGCACTCAAGGCACATTCACTCACCGTCACAGCGCTACAGTTCTCACCAGACGACAAGCACCTTCTTAGTGTTGGACGAGACAGACAATGGGTCATCTGGGAGCGCAGCGAAGAGCCGTCATTATACACACTCAAGCACTCCAATCCAAAGGGCCATTCACGCATGATACTGGGTGCTGCCTGGACACCGCTCGAACAGCCTACATTCATGACTGCTGGTCGAGACAAGAGTGTCAAGATCTGGCAGATCACCGAGAACGACGTGCAGCTCAAGGCTACCGTATCAGCAAACGCCGCTGTTACCGCTGTAGCTTGTAACGGCGTGCACTCAGGTGGAAAGATCATGTTTGCCTTGGGTACAGAGAACGGAGAAATCGGTATTGCGAGCGCATCGCCAGATACTTTGGACCAGGCACAAGTATCAATGGTCAAGGCAGACTTGGTCCCAGCGAAAACTATCAACCAGATCGTCTGGCGACCTGGAAGAGCAGATGGCGAGCCACAACAGATCGCCGTAGCAAGTGATGACACCACCTTGCGCGTCTTCAATGTTTCGGATGAGGTATTGCAGCACTAGCACAAGGCATCGCGAGGGAGGATACATGGATGTCAACTGTTGAATAAACTTTACACTATTAGGTAGGTTTCGCTGGGGTATCTCGCCAAGAAAATTCACTTCCTTCATCCTCATCAATGAAAATAGTACTACATGTCCACCTCTTCGCTTAAGCGTAACGGGATCCAGCAATCTTCTCAGGAAGATCCGAGGCTGCCATGCTAGGTTGACCCTTTGGGTACTGTCCGGGCGCCATGCGCTGAACCGGCTGCGTCATCTGTGGGTGCTGCCCGAACTGCTGCCCAAACTGCTGCATCTGACCCGGTCCTTGTTGCATATACGGGGGCTGGTTCGGGTACCCTTGCTGGTTGGGCGGCATCTGATAGTACATGACCTGGCCCGGCTGCGGTTTCATGTGTGCCTGTCCTGGTGGCGGCACAACAGCACCATTACTGATCATGTTCTGCACGATTTCAGCAGCAAGCTTTTCGGCGTCCTTGCTCGTTGTGCGGCGGCGGTGGCGATGGCAGTCAACGCAAGCCCACACGAATAGCGCAAAGTGAATGACCAGGCCGAAGAACTGGCATACCACACCGGTCAAAGTGACGTTTGAGCGATGATCCTTTTCAGCCCATAGTTTGTTGACGAAGGCGTCCTGCTCCTCACAGCTGTCAAACTGACTGGATCGGGAACAGTCTCGAGGAGTCTCGATGTAGCTCGTGTCCTGTTCCCATACCCATGTGTTGTTGGAAGCCAGGACATATTCTCCATCGCTGCTGTATGAGTAGCCCCAACCCCATGTATCGAATCCGTCTAGACCCCACCTCATCAAGTACCGGAGGGCTATAAGAGAGAACAAAGCCGTTACGATGAAGCCAAGCCATAGGAGAAGATCCATCGCTACGCGGACACCTGGATGTACAGGTCGCTTGCGCAGCAGGAACACGATGATGCAGAGCGCACACCAGACTATCGAGGCAGCCCAAGTAATCAGACTGGGCCATAGAGACCAGTAGCTTTCGTAGCTGATTGAATAAGAAGAGTCCGGGTCGTATTCACTGTCCATTGTGGACATCAGCCAGCCAAAGCAACCGACTCCGATCAAGCCTGTTATGATGGCAGCGGCTTTGAGACCGAACTTGAACTTCCAGTATCGGTCGGCAGCATTGAGCTTGTCGTTGTATGAAAGGCGTTCCTCGGTCTCGGTCGCGGCGCCCTGTGGAGCTGTCGCGTGCGGGATCGACGCCGGGGGTGCCATGGTGGGAACACCCGGCGCAGGGCTGCTCGACGGTGGCATTCTGGGCGAGTTTGCGTGCGCAGACGAGGTTGCGGTCGCGTTCGTCGCGTCGGACAGTCTGGCTGCGGACTTTGGAGGGGGCGTTGGGACTGGAGACGGGGGCCCTCCTGGAATCGCGTCAGGCGCTTGCGGCACAGCTTGCGGCTGCTGCTGAGTAGAAGAAGACATTATTAAAGTATTAACTAAGTAGAAAGCGAGTGGATGCGCAGAGACATGCGCGTGGGATGGGGTCAGACAGAATCTTCACAAACACAACGACCGTGAAGAAGATCAAACGACCGCGAACAAAATCAGGCAACAGGAGAGACCTTCGCCTGGATGCGTCCATCGTGCTGTTTGTGGCGCCATTGGGTGCCTGAGGCTAGTCGGCATTGGTGTTGGGAGTCACTTAATTTAGATAAGCAGGAGCGGAAAAACGATGATGCGGGTCGGCTAAGCTCCAGTCATCTCAGTCATCAATGCACGGCTTGTAACGACGCGCTTGTCAAAGCTTAACCCAGGCGTGCTCCTTTGTCATTTCGCAATATCAGGGTAGTCCTTCTCAATCAAAAGTGTGTTGGTTTAATATTAAGTACTTCATTACTACCCAGTTGGCTCACCGGCGCCAACGCGTCGCGGGATACCGCAAAAAAACATTACATCGTAAATAAGCCTGTGTCGACCAAATCCTGAAGCAATCAAACTCCATACTGGGCCCAGGCACGAACTGGAAGAAGGAATGACAAGTGCAGGTGCCCCATCTCAGTCATCTCAGCCATCACAACTCTACCTATGGTAGGTCGCGCTTAGTACATTGGGTCACCGATAGCGGTGATGGAAGCAGTGCAAACACCGTCCTTGCAGTAACCAGCAGGGGTCAACCAGCCCCAAAGTTCTATAACTTGTTAGCATCTGTTGTGGAATTGTCTGATGGAACGTCAAACTTACCGACTTGCTCTCCGTTGGCGAAGATGGCACGGGCAATACCCGAAATGGTGGCGGAGCACGCCTTGTGGCCAGAGATCTGGTCGCAGGTAATGACGAAGGGGGCGGTAGCCGAAAGAGGAATGTTGGCGGAACCGTAGCATCGGCCCTCGGCGCACCATGCGGAAACAGTGTTGTTCATGGAGTACTTGTCGCCGTCGACGAGCAGGTTCTCGAGAGAGCCTGCGACAGTGACGGTGCACTTGTGGTCGGTGTTGCAAGCTCCAGATACTAAAAGGATGTCAGTTAGTACAAAAAAATCAGGCGGGGATGAGGTAGTGAGTATACTTACGGAGACCGACAGCAGCTCCGAGAACACCAGAGAGGACCTTGTCAATGACAGGCGGCATGGCGGGAAGGTTCTCAAGAGAGAGCACGCCGTGACCCTGGACTGGGGCAGAGAAGCTCGATGGCATCGTCGGCTGGCCAGTCGAAGCGGCGGTTGGCGCAGCGGTGATGGTGGACGTAGTGGCTGCCTTTGCAGCAGCACCCGATCCGGAACCAAGGCTCACATCCAACAGAGCGCTGGAAGTAGCAACGCCGACGTTGATGCCACCGAGCTTGAGGCCCAGGAGAGGAGAGGCATTTGCCGAAGCAATCAGAAGAGCGAGGGTAGTAGTAGTGAACTGCATAGTGAAATCCGAAGCTGAGAAGCGATTGATAGCACGGAAACACCGAAGAGTGTGATGGCCGAGATGACTGAGAGGAGCTGATAGAAGAGCTGGAGATGATTGAAGCTGATGATGCTAAGATGAAGGGATCTTGCCAGCTCTTTGTAGTCGTTCATGGTGGCTTGGTAGAACGACGTCTTCTCAAATCTTCTGTTGTTGAACCCCTGACGTACGTCAACTCTGTGCTAATTGAGGGCAACCGGTTCGCACTCCGAAGCGCGCCTTCGATTTCGATGCCAGAACCCAACGCCTGACGATGTTCGCACTACGAAGTTTCAAATCGGCTGAGGCTTCCAGACCACCCGTTACAGATTCTCGATCTTCAGGCACGGATACTAACGTCGCTGATCTGCCGTTAAGCGAGTTCCTACGTCGGTGGTGTCCGAGGAGCAAGATCTGTATGTACCGCAACGCCAGATCTATCGCGTGGTCACTTAAGGTTTTGCACTAGCTGGGCGGAGTCGTCTCCGAGCTGTGCGGTACATATGACCCAACCAATGGGATTACACCCATGCATTAGTACGCAAACCTACCCGCCTCCAAAAGCTATTTGGCACTGCCGAAATCGAAGCCCAACGCGCGCTGTACGGTACCGCATTTGGCCAGACCACATGTGCTAGCACCCTTTTGATCAAATCGCACACCCTTTTCGCTACCACTTACCTGGTCGCTGGTTGAGCTACAGACGCCTCGGCAGCTTGCACCAACGCTCGACTAGCTCATCGCTATACAACACCTAGACTGTAGTATACCGCGGTACATCGTGGCTAACGTTCTCCAGTCTCGATTCGGTGATGACGATGGAATCATGGCTTCAACGCATTCAAATCATCAGAGAGTCATGTAAGCTCCTCCCCATTTCACTGCCTAATGCATCAACTTCACATAATGGCGTTGTATCACGCTGTGTGATATGCTAGCTGCATCGTTTTCATTCAACGGGACAAGTGAGGGTTGCACAATTACTGAGGTCTGGACTCTACGTATCTTGGTATGATGAGTGATCTCATCTATCGTGGTAACATATCGCGGAAAGGAGAGTCTCGACAAAGTTGAAGTTGTGATGTTTAGGGTACATCGTAAAGAGACTGTGCTACTGATGCTGCGTCTGTACCAGCTCTGACCAATCTCAACATCGGAGTATATAGGCTACGAAGAAAATATGTATTAAAGTGTTGTACATGAATAAAAAGAAAACACTACGGCCCCGTCGTGACAGGCACAAGCGCCTCCAAACCATCCGTTCCGTCATCACAAACACCAAAGTGGTCCGCAAGGGTCATACCAGGCTTGCCATCGCGGAAGCAAGCCGTGTTCTTCGTTGCATAATCCCTCAGTGCGGTCCAGTCCCGACATTGATGCATCTGGCCATCACCAGCCATGCCATCGCCGTGACCATACAGCGGAGTGTTATCCGCATGGCACATAATGTGTTGACGCAGGGCGTCGAAACAATGCAAAGCGTGATGCGAGGGGAAGGGCGGGAACTCTTGGCGCTTCAGAGCTAGATATGAGGCGCGAACGATACGCTAGAATGGAATGATTAGAGAAGTTGCATAGGTACCTGATGTTTACTGAACAACAGATTACTGAACAACAGAAGTGACGTACGAGGCAGTGGAGCTGATGGTAGGCTTGGAGAAGATACATGCCTTTACCAGGCATGCCGGGTATGTCCATAGAGGCAGGCCACTGTAGAAGATGTCAACCACTGTTCATTTGAGTGATGGTGTCTTGGTACCCGAAGACCTGGTTGGGGGTAACTCACGTGGTTCTCTGCTGCGAACTCATGGTCAACTGCGATATGACCATGCGCAGTGTTGATGCTATCCCACAGCGGGTCTGCTTCCGTCGCATTGGGCGCACCCCATGGCGTATTCCAATGAAAAGGGACATACGCGATAGGAAGAGACTCTACCCTAGCGAGGTCGTTGGGAACCTCAAGGGTGCTGGACTGGGCGAGGCTGGTCAGAGAATCTCCCGGGGTCGCCGTGGCGGCCACACCCGCAGTGCGCCATATGGCAATCGAGAAGCCCAATACACAGACGTTTGCGAAGGAAAGCACAACCAGTACTATCGTCGGATAGTGTCGTCTGTGCGCCGAATGCGAACACGAGGCGTGATCCGGGGCGTGATCCGCCGAGGAGACGAGCTTGTACCGAGCGAACATGGTGTTGTCGAATGCGTGGAGGAACGATCGAGAAACATTGCTGAAACCTGCATATCAAATACTCACGATGGTCAGCGCTGCGCAGGATGCACGAGGCAAGTCCTAACGAAAGCAGCGTGCAGTTAAGGTTCACGACGATGCCCCGAGGTGGTTAGCGTAGTCCTTAAAGCATGCCGCAATCGCGCGAGGAGTTCCTTCCGGCCTCGGTCCGTCACGACCGAAAGTCGTCGCCTCACGATCTAGGTGGGTCTGCGAATCAACGCTTTTCCCCAGACTGCGCACCAGGGGTCGGATCTAGACCGAGGCGCGGGAGATCTTCCGCATGTCGCTGCTGGGGAAATAGCCATGTGCTCGGGGTTTATGTGCGTCACTTTTCGTGCCCAACGGCGCTTCTGTGCCAGCCTTGCGCACGACTATCGAGCTGAACACCTTTGGGCCACTACCGGGTACCTAGCTAAGGGTGAGGGTGTAGACATGCAGTTTTTCTGAGAAGGAGTTCCCTCCGTTCCTTCCATACCTGTGAATGCCATGTCTACATAACCTCTCGTGATCACCACCGGTAAAACTCATCATCACGGCGAACCATCAGTCTCTCTTTCAAGCATATCATACTTGCGAGTTCTCTCCTTCTTGAGAGTATCCTCGGTTACTCCCTCGAGTCCTTCGTTATACCGCCGCCAAGATGGGTTACACATACATCAACGTTACCTCGTGCCTCGCCACTGGCATCGCTCTTACCGTCTTGACTGTCCTTTTCGTCGCTCTGCGAATAGGCGTAGCGATACAAAAGGCCGGCAAAAGCAGAGAGACGCGTCTCAGCAAGCATCTCGACGACCTCTTCTGCCTCCTCGCTCTCATCCCAACCATCGGCGTCTCCACTGTTCTCATCTATGGTAAGCCTCGAGCCAAGCAACCCCCAAGCCCTTCTTTTATCTGACTAGTTCTACAGGCGCTGCTAAGGGTATTATCGGCGGCCACAACGACCCTAGCAACATCGAAGGCTGGATCTACAGCACGACACCAGATTTAGTAATTTTGGAGAAGGCTAGTCACCCTGTTCTCGGCTGGTCTTTCCTGCTCGACTAACACTGCGACAGTGTGTGTACATGATTTTCATCATGCAGCCGCTGGCTATTGGCTTCACGAAACTCGCTTTCTTGTTCCTGTACCGTCGCATCTTCACGTGGCCTGGTTTCCAGTGGACTTCGCTCGTGTTCATCGTCCTCACTGTGGCTTTCACCATCGCCTTCTTCTTTGGCTTCATCTTCGATTGCCGCTTGAACTTTGCTGCCAATTGGGGCTCTCTTGCTAGTATCGCAGAGAACTGTCCGTTTGGATTCGAGGCGACCATCACTTTCACGGTTCTTGATGCCGTGTTCGATCTCTGCATCTTACTTCTGCCACTCCCATGGGTAAGTTCACACCAACGCGATTCAAACCAACAGCGGCTAATCATTGCGCGAACAGATCTGGCGTCTCCAAATGCCCACCGTCCGCAAGATCCAGCTATGCGGTGTCTTCCTACTCGGAGGTTTCGCCGTCGCCTCCGCCATTGTCCGCATGGTCATCTGCATCAAGCAGAACACACCATCCGCGGCCCTCGACGAACAGTACATCATGGGCATGCCCACCTACGACATCATCGGCATAACCTCGCACGGTCTGTTCTGGACCGTCGTCGAGACCAACGTCGCCCTCATCGCCTGCTGCCTTCCCAAGATCCGATCCGTGCTCAGCTTGGCCGGCCTGGGAAGCATCATGATGTCCATGGGCTCTCTGCTCCAGAAGATGGGCTCCAGCATGGGTACTCAGAACTCCAAGAGCGCCAGCAACGGCAGCAACGGCAGCGGTCAGTTCAGCAAGCTCAGCAAGATCTCGGCTGCTACGACTGTTACAGTTGGTAGCACACCTCGAAGCCAACTCGGTCACTACCGCTTGGAGAAGGAGCGCTCTGACAGCGATATTAATCTCGTTGACCTCAAGGGCTTGGGCCACAAGGCTGACGCCGAGGCCGTCGCCTTAGAGAAGGGAATGTCACCTGACTCTTATGAGGACTTGGAGGACAGGAAGTACCTTGGAAGAAACTCTCCCAGCAGGTTCTCCACGTAAAACCGCACAGTAACGATGCGATATGATGCCTCTCCGGAGGCTACGATCCCAGATATACCCCTCAATGATTTTGTCCAGCGTAGTGTAGCGAACGTAGCGTAACATCTTAATAATAATCAAATACCCCTATTAGCATAATTCTTCTTGTTGGCCAGTATATCTCGTGACGAAACACATCGACAATATGCACAGCTCGGCAGCCAGCCTCCACATCACGATTGTCAGTCACCGGAGAGAAAGAATCTGGAATAGAGCTCAGCACAGAGCATGATAAAGTATCGTGACTCCATTGCATGCATTTGATTGAGAGTTTGCGGAACAGAGTTTAACGCATCTGGTACTCATCTAGTGCCATGCCTTTAGCAATCTTCTTGATCAGTGCTTTCTTCAAGAATTGTTCTCGAGCAAGACTTCGAGTTTGCTGTAATCATGTTAGCCATGTCCCACCTTGAACGATGTCGCAGAAGATGCACTTACCTTGACGAAGACTTCAGTACTGACGCGCCCCTTGTCCAAAGCTCTACCCAGTACAAACAATGCGTCTGCAATGCCCTTCTCTTCCGCAGCAAGAGTGTAGAGCTGCCCTCCTACTATTGTCGGTGCTACTAGGACATCATCCACATCTGGTGCCTTTCTTCTGCGAGCATCCTCCATGACTCTATCTGCTTCAACCATGGCACCCTTTAAGACTTGTTCGTTCGACGCAAGCGCCGCGTCAAGCTGCTGCAGTTCGCCCAATTCCGACTGTAACCGGGAGTATGCAGTCTGTAAGGCGGCTTGTTGCGCGCGAAGTGGTGCTACCGCAGCCATGTTGGAGGAAACTATTTGTCGGATTTGCGATACCAGCGTTTGGCTCAAGGCCCGGAGAAGTGCGTCCTTCTCAGGGTTTGGTGGAACAGGTGGTACTGGTAATGGAACTTGGTTGCCAGACTGTGACGGTAATGTGACTTCCAGCGAGTCGTCGAGAAGATCGATTGGGGGCTTCGGAGCTGGTGGCGGTTGCTGAGGAGGTGCATGTGAGTATTGCTGGAAAGGAGCCTGTTGCTGTGGCGGGTAACCCTGTGGCGGCTGTCGATACTGCTGTTGCTGTGGTGGAGGTTGCCCATACTGCTGCTGGGGTGGTGGGCCCTGGTACTGTTGTGCTTGCTGGAAGTTAGGGGGCTGTGGGGGCCCTGATGTCGAGAAGTGGGCAGCCGTTCGTTGACCATTTGGTGTCATGGGGCTCACAGGGCTGCCGTTCTGTAATGACTGTGGAGGGTAACCATGTGCGTGCATTTGCGGGTGTTGAGGACCTGAGCCTGAAGTCGCTGGACCTTGACCATAGCCACTCTGTCGATTGGGCGCGTATGGTGGACCTGAAGGCTGCGGTTGCCACCTCTGCGGCGCATCGTATCTACTGCCCTGAGATTGCTGGTACGACTGCTGCGACTGCGGATGTTGTGGAGGGTGGGGTGGCAGAGGAGGGGGTTGCGAGTATCGGTCGTGTGGTGTCTGGGGCGTGGAGCGGTTTTGTTCATGTGGCTTCGGCGGCTTTGGAGGGGGCGCGGGCGCTTGGTTCGATGGAGCAGGAGACGAGGATGCGCCTGGAGCGCCGTGTACTGAGCGGCCCCATTCGGCTGGCGGCGGGGGTACTGGAGGGGGTGCTTGCTGCTGCGGCGCATTGTATTGCGGCTGTTGTTGCCGCGATCGCACGGGTGGCTCTTTCGCAAAGACGCCTCTTAGCACGGCTAGAAAGTCGAACAGTGTAGATTTCTGCGCACACATCAGCTGCCGTGACCCAAGATTGAGCATTTCGCTCAGCAGCTTTCCAAGCGCGTGCGGTACTCACATCCCAGTACTTCGTCCATTGTGCCAGATACGGGTGGTATATTCTGCCATCGGTGCTCACGTGTTGTCCAGGTCTTAACACCATGTCCTGCGCTGGCGTGACGTATACGATGGGTGGTTCTCGGGGGTACGACTGAGGCACCCATATCGCTACCGGGAACCCATATGTTGCGCCGCGAAATGTGACCGGCAGCGTGCCACTGAGAAGCAGGAGAAGCGCTGAAGAGCCATTCTCGTACGTATATGGTTCGGTCTTTGGTGAGAGCGACGGGTCTGGACGTTGGTGTAGAGTTAGTATAGCTGTCGTGAAGCTGCGACGCATGTGACGTACAGTTGGACAGTGCCTCGGCCGCGTCGTGATATGTGCGATTTACGTCTGAGTATTCCTGAAGCCTGTTAGCGCATACGATATTGATTGTCGCGAGGGGAATCACATTGACGAGAACGCTGTACAGCCAGTTGAGGACTTTCTCGCTGGCCATGTTGTAACTGATCGATGATAGCACCAGGTTAGACGATGGCCAATGGAGCACGGTCCTCACCTCTCCCAAGGTGAACCCCTCAACACCTTGGCAATGCCCAATGACTTGCCCCTCTATCTTTCACTGAGACAATCTGCGCATGCATCACATTCTTGTCGCACATGGAGGAACTGTGAAGAGTGTGTACATGCTCAATACATTTCATTATGTAGAGCTATTGCGTATGGTACATTGCTATGTAATCGTGTTTCTCGTAACCGCTACAACGAGCGTGGGCATTGTTGCCAAAGAATGTACGTCATTATATTATACAAGTTTCGCCGGGGTATCAAACAACTACTTCGCTCAATGCTGACTCCATTCGATCGTGTTGAGGTCGACACCCTCCTGCACGAGTTCCCACAACGGGCTCAACTCGCGGAGGAAGGTGACGCGCTCCTTGACAGCCTTCAAGACGTAGTCGATCTCTGAGTCTGTAGTGTAGCGTCCGATACCGAAGCGGATACTGCTGTGCGCGCTTTCGTCACTGCTGCCAAGTGCCCGCAGGACGTAACTGGGTTCGAGCGACGCCGATGTGCAAGCGCTGCCCGAAGACAAGGCAATGTCTTTCAGCGCCATGAGAAGTGACTCACCCTCGACGTAGGCGAATGAAACATTGACACAGCCGGGGTAGTGTCGCTCCCTGTCGCCGTTGAGTGTGGTGTGCTCGAGCGATAGGAGGCCTTCGAGAAGACGGTTCGACAGCGCAGAGATGCGCTTTGTGTCATACTAGCCATTGTCAGCAAAGTCCGAACAAAACCGGTGTAACCAAGACAATGTGTGATAAGGAACTCATAACCCCTGCACTTGTGTCAACATGGCGCGTCGACGACCGAAGCCGCCTAACGCTCTGAAAGCCATGCATGTGTAAAGCAAATAATCATAGTGTTCGTGATGATAAGGGAAGAAAGTACGTACCTCCATCTCTTCTTTGCAGATCCGTGCGGCTTCGCCCATACCGATGGCAAGAGGAGGTGCTAGTGTGCCACTTCGCAGTCCTCGCTCTTGACCACCGCCGCTGATGATGGGGTCGAGCCTGACCCTAGGCCGTCTTCGTACGTAACATGCGCCGACGCCCTTGGGACCGTAGATCTTGTGGCCTGATATCGACATCAAGTCGACATGCATCTTGTTGACGTCGATTGGGATCTTGCCGACAGCCTGTGCGGCATCGGTGTGGAAGAAGATCTTCTTCGACCGGCAGAGCTTTCCGATCTCTTCAACGGGTTGTACAACACCGATCTCGTTGTTGACAGTCATGATACTGACAATGGCGGTATCGGGTCGCATGGCGGCCTCGAGCTGAGCCATGTCGATCAGGCCGTTGTTCCCTACTGGCAGGTAAGTGACGGAGAAGCCTTCATCTTGCAAATGTCTACAGCTGTCAAGCACACACTTGTGCTCGGTCTGTGCTGTAATGATGTGCTTCTTCTTGCCGCTACGCCCAAAGAAGCGAGCTACGCCCTTGATACTCATGTTGTTACTCTCGGTAGCACCGCTGGTGAAGATGATCTCCTTGGGGTCTGCACCAATGAGGTTGGCGATGTGCGCGCGGGCATCCTCTACGGCCTTGTCGGTCTCCCAACCGTACGCGTGGGTTCGCGAATGGGGGTTACCGTACATGCCGGTCATGTATGGCATCATCTTGTCTACTACTCGTGGGTCCATTGGGGTCGTAGCTTGCATGTCTAGATAGATAGGCCGTGAGCCCTGATCCATGACGGTTGCTTGCTTGAGTATGCCTGAAATTGTCAGCTTCGCGGAAAGCGGGGTGGCGTGAATTCTGGCCTACCAGCAGTGGGACTCATCATGGCATCAGCGCTCATGCCTGTTGTTGGCATGGTCGCATCCTCTGCTCTTTCTCCCGTCTCCTTGAGGAAACTCCGCTGCTCCTTCTTGATGGCTGAGTCGAGATGAGAGGCGTTGGAGACGGTCGCCTGCGCGGGCTTGGACTCTGAGACATAGTGACGACGGATGCTCGAGACACGAGAAAACGCAGATGAAGGGTATCGACGAGAGGCAATGCGCAGGGCCTGCCTCGCGACGGTGGGTGCAATGTTGGACATGGTGAGAATTGGAGTGTTGGGGTTGGGAGAGCAAATTGCCTCCCGAGGTATTAGAAGCTATGAAGTTTTAGCGCACGGATCGGCTGACTAAATGGCCCCCCAGCGTTCACGGCCACATCGTCCACTCGTCATGCATGGTTCATTGTTTGCCTGCACGACAAGATAGTCGTTCACGCGACCGCGCGCTGCTCTCAGCTTTTGGCCCTGGGTTTCTCGTGCACTAGCCGCAGCAGATCATTCACTCTTGGCGTGAAGTAATTGCACTCGTGCTCGTTTTCGCTCTCGGCGCTCCGCGACATCCGGCAGCCGTGGGCAGTTGGCTGGCATAGCCACAGGCGACGTCATCGACGATTCTAGCAGCCACGCCGGCGCCCGCATCGTTCGGCTGCTTCCTGCTGGCTTACATCTGCAGTCTCCACGGCGCCTCCTGATCCCTACTGTGTATCAATTCCCAGCAGACTTACAGAATTACCCCCACCATGAGTTGGAAAGGCCTAACAAAGACCGTCACCCGGGTACGACAGGCGCCCTCACACGGCCTTCGGGCATCAACACGTGCTAACATGATGGTTTAGGCGCCCCAAACCTTCAAGCAAAGATTCAACCTCGTACGTATTCTGCGAAGGCCTCCAGGGGCTCTCCCCTCTACGCGCCTGCTTCCGAGTACGATTGGGCCTTGCTAACAGAGCATGTAGGGCGAAATCACCAAGGACCCCATCTACACCGATGCCGAACGCCGCTTTCAGGAGCTGGAGAAGGAGACCAAGAAGCTCCATGACGAGTCCAAGAAGTATGCGCCTGTTGCGACACAGTCCTAGTTGCGACCCTGGCTAACATGCGACAGGTACTTCGAAGCCATAAATGGTGCGTAAACAACATGCAGCCCCACGCGATTCCGCCTAACCCACTTCGCAGGCATGCTCTCACATCAGATGGAGTTCTCGAAAGCGATCGCCGAAATCTACAAGCCCATCTCCGGCCGAATGTCAGATCCCGATTCATTCCTCGACGAAGGCAACACAGCAGGCATAGAAGCATGCGAACAGTACGAGACAGTCGTCAGGGAACTGCAGGAAACACTCAAGCCCGAACTTGAGATGATAGAGTCCCGGGTTATTCGCCCGGCGGACGAGCTGCTAGTCATCATCAAGGCCGTACGAAAGATCGCCGCCAAGCGCGACCACAAGCAACTCGACTATGACAGACATCGCGCCGCATACAAGAAGCTCGAAGAGAAGAAGGACAAGACGCTAAAGGACGAGAAGGCCATGTACAAGGCCGAGAACGATGTGGAACAGGCTACGCAGGACTACAACTACTTCAATGATCTGCTCAAGGACGAGCTACCGAAGCTGTTCACACTGGAGAGAGAGTTCATTAAACCTCTATTCCAGTCTTTCTACTACATGCAACTGAACGTCTTCTACACACTGCACGAGCGCATGCAACGGCTCGACATCGGCTACTTCGACCTTACTCTGGACATCGAGGCGGCTTACCAGAAGAAGCGTGGCGACACACAGGAGGAAGCGGAGAAGATCTCCATTGTGAAGTTCAAGACTACGGGCGGAGCTCGTGTCGCTGGCGCACGTCCAGGCCAGTCAAAATACGCAACGAAAGCTCTGGAAGCCAAGGCAGGCCGAAGTTCAATATCGGAAGAGACGGAAACACCTCCTCCACCGTACTCTGCTGGGCCTTCTGCAGCTACTGGAGATGTCAAGTCCCCGACGCTATCAGCAGGTTCCTGGGGCTCTGCCGCCAAAGCCAAGGGCGCGCCTCCACCACCGAAGCCCAAGCCATCACGTCTCAGCGGTGTCCCGGCGACCGAAACCGTTACAGCTCTCTACGACTACGAGGCGCAAGCGGAAGGTGACCTAAGTTTCCTGACGGGCGACGTCATAGAAATCGTTTCAAGAACGCAGAACGATAATGAGTGGTGGATTGGAAAGGTACGGGGGAAGCAGGGACAATTCCCAGGTACGTACATTCATTTACGTGGAGGGGAGTTATTCTAACCAGATCCCAGGGAACTACGTCAAACTGAATTAGGGCTTCAGTCCTCCATCTCCCACTTTGCGGTTACGAGGCCACACATGTTGAAGCATGGTGTTGCCAGTGTTGCGTTTACAGCATCGTCCGGGGTTTACGTTAGACTTCCGTGCTAGATTTAAGCGATCAGCACATGTATTTGCATTATTCAGACTAATCTTCAATCCTATTCTGGGTACCGTCCATTTCCATTTGAGCATTTCCACGTCGCAAAACTCCTGTTCGTATTTGGAGTTGCTAGCATATCGATGCTGGAGTGGACTAGCGTGCAGTAGGCGGTGATCTTTCCGCCGCACCCCGCATGACGTGTGCCGGAGACATGGAGCAGTGGAACCCCTGCAACCTCACGAACATCTTCAGGGTATCGTGAAGTAATCCTTCCAGACCGCGGACTTCTACGAATCGAACAGCGACCAATTCCAAGTCCTTTTGTATGCTACATTCATCATGTCTTACGAATCAACAATTACCTTCACGCTCGACACAATATGTCCCTGGTACATCCACCCACCCTTTCGCGCCACACCACCACTTTGACCAATCCCTCACAATACCACAGGACATACCTAGCCTTCATCCGCCTCACCAAAGCCCTCTCCAACTACCGCACCACCAACCCCTCTCCCCCAGCAACATTCACCCTCAAACTAGCACCCTACCAACTCTACCCCGACGCCACCCAAGAAGGCGTCAACAAATATGAATGGTACAAGAACGAAAAGTACGATGGCAGCGAAGACCGGATGGAGAAGTATATGAATGTGATGCGTGATTTGGGTAAACAAGAGGGGATTCAGTTTGATTTTGGGGGTGGGGTGGTGGCGAATACGTTGCATGCGCATCGTATGTTGCAGTATTTGCAGAATAATAAAGAGGATGGTGCTGCGCTGGAAGCTGTTAAGTCGCTGTATACGCAGTACTTTGAGCAGCGCGCGCATCCTTCGAGTACAGAGACGTTGGTCAAAGCGTGCACGGCTGCTGGGCTAGGTGAAGAGGAAGCGGTGAAGTTGGTGGAAGATAGCGACGAGGAGTTGAGGGAGACGAAAGCGGCGATAAGGGAACAAGCTGGGAATGGAGTGGATAGTGTGCCGTATGTTGTTTTTGAGGGTAGGAAGAGGGACTTTACGTGCGTGGGGGCGAAGAGTGTGGCGGAGTATGAGAAGGTGCTTGCGCAGGTTGCTAAGGAATGTACGTGAGCGTTGACCGAAGGTCCAATCCGCTTTTTGGATGTAGAATAGCCTGCATACTGATTTGTGAAGGTCGATTGAGGCTGGGTAGACACAGTGCATGACGGAATGTGGTTGGGATTCTGATGCTTGTTACTGGAGGAACTGAACTGATGTCATTCTTCCTATTCTTTCCAATCTTTTCAAGGCGTAGTGAAGTTCCTATCTTGACGATACTTCTCGTTCGAGAGGACCTGATTGGATGGATACATATGTGTTTCGGAAGTTGTGAGCGCTCGGCTGCTTCGCGTAAGGCGTGGTGAAGGAACGTCATCGCCATTGCTGAACAGCCTTTGGCGTGGAAGCAACTACAAAGCAGCGAGGTACGTCACTGATCACCGTCCTGGTCATTCGGAAGGTACCTGGGTACATCAGATCAGCGTATCCCGTATCCGATTCGACCCGTTTGGCGCTATACTAGGTCTGCTAGGCTCGAACGAGATAGTTATGCGAATATGTGGGGACTGCATTCCCGAGACAGCCTTGCTAAGTTGCACCCGATGTATCGCGGAATTTATCCCGGTGTTCTGTATTCCTCAATCGAAATGCTCCTGGTCTCTTCGAAAACATGTCTGGTCTCTAACTAGACTTTGCACTTTTGCACTACATCCATTCCTGGGAAATGAGCTCGAGGGCCTCTGATGCTCGATTTCCTTCTACCTAGGTATTGTTGATCGGACAACAGTGCATACCTTTGACGAAGTTAGCTACCGGTTCTCCCTGCCCGTATATCTATCCATGTATCTAGGTCACTTTATTCGCCAGATGTAACGCTACGTGCACTATATTCCCGGCTGCGATGGAGATGTCAACACAACGGGAGGCCATGCCGCGGACATGAGCGCCGCTTTCCCAAACGGCGACACTTCTCACACCCACAATTCTCCAGAGAATCTAGGACGGCATGTTAGCGTCGGATGCAGCCATTGTCTGCATACTAACGGCAATAGCGGGTGATCCCTTCTATACGACCGTATAATCGCGGAACCAATGCCGGGAGGGAATGTACGAAGCAGACCAATTGCGCAACGGACTGTACTGACTTTCTTGGTCTGAAAAGCTTGTGTTGTGTGCAAAGTGCTTGTTGCCTCCCACACAAGACCGTTCTAAGGATAAGATCAAGACAGATACATAGGTCGTACAGCGCTGGCCTTGCTTGACTAAAGTGGACATGTCGAATGAGCTAGGCTGGTCAAACGACCACGTGCTATACCGAATACCTGAGTGGTACATTAGAACGGCTGGCGATCTCGGGTTCTAGCAGGTGGCCTTACAATGAGGAGTGTGTCACTAGATGTAGATCTACCTGCTTACTACTACACCAAATGCACTCTGACGAGTTGAATAATTTATACCTTCCATCTCAGGCTTCGCTGATACATGTTTTTGTCAACGGGCAATGCTCATTGGACCCGCAAGGCTGACGGCGTGATATTCTCACTTGATCACTCGACGGAGAAGCTTAGTCCGTGTAGATCACATATGCTGCATTCTGTGGGGAAAGTGGGATTCACGGGAGAGAAAGACGTAGGTGGCATAACATGGCATGAACAGTTCAGATCGATCGACGATTTCGAGCAATGCTGGCCTCACAGCCATCTATAAAAGGAGGTGCTCGACCTCGAATTGATGAAGCATCTCACAGCAACATTGTATCACTCTCCAATACCATCACACGATCAAGTATCTCAGCTACGACAAATCAACACACGAAAATCGACATCATGCAGTATGTTGTGCACGCAAGACCCAAATTGCACACATGGCTTACTTGAAGCCAGGTTCTCAGTAAACTCACTTGCGATGGTACTCGCAACCGCCGTCACCACCACAATGGCTGCGCCCACCAACAATCTCGCCGTAAGTGTCTCTTCTAAGAAGAAGGAGACATCGCTGTAAAGCCATCCATCTAACCCTCCACCCAGCTCCGCCAAGACGACGGCGTAACCCGCTGCAAAGTCGAAGCCGAAGCCTCGCACTCCTACGGCGGCGGCGGCCCCGGCCAAGTGCCTGTCGACATCACCGGCGGAGGAATCTACTGCTACGATGTCAACAACAACCAAGTCTACGCCAACGGAGACGCCAACGTGAACAACTTCAATGGCGCTACCAACACCGTGTCGGGAGCAGACTGCCACACCCAAGGCGATGTCACGTTCCACACTGCGTATAATACTGCGAGTAACCACTTTGAGATTTGCACTATTACGTACAATGGGGCGGATACTGAGGGTGTGGTTACTAGTAACATTGATTCTGGGACGGTGAGCGTATCGACTTCTTACTGTACTATCTACATTCCTTGCTAGATGTAGGAGATACTCATGGGAAGAATGCTTGCGTAATATTCAGTAGCAAATATGAGTGAGGTGTTTACGCCGAACTCAGTGCTAAATGAAAACCATCATGTGTTCTCATCTTCGTAACACGACATATTTATGGTGACCATTTCGTTTGCGTAACTTATTCTATCTTACTCCGCTGTAAGAGATAAAGGATACATTGCAGTGTTTCAAATGAGCGTTTAGTTCAGCTACTCCACTGCTCGTTGCCCAAATTCCCTCATACTTTGAACCGCTCAATCTACAAGCTCGTACAAGAAGAAGAACAAAGCAACGACTAAAGAAAAGGCCTGATCCCATTCTCCAATCTTCTGCGGCGCACATGGAATGTAGAAACACAGCTTCCTTAACTCTGCATTGCTATCAGTGAAATAGCTCCAATTCATTAAGGAAACAAGCGACGAAGGGAGGAATGTGTAGTAAATAAGGTCCGATAAAGCATATGTACTGCTCAAGGAAGCCGAAATCTGAGTCGAGAACATGTGCGTTGCAACTAGAGCAGCTGCTGTGATTTTGAGATAACCAGACGTGCTATGGCCAGCCAGGACATTATGGTAGTATGGCACAAGGAAAAATTCCGTCAGTACTGGGAGTATTAAGCCGATGGCGATGCACCGGAGACGCCGCATGATGTTCTTCTTGGTATCGGCATCCTTGTTCGTCGCAATGTATCGGCACGTTGCGATTTGCAAACATGCTTGGAAGATGCCGACTCGTACCACCGCTTCAGCCGCGACGAGACTCTGCAACTGGGCATCGTTCATCTCTCGAAAAGTCCGATGTTCAGCAGAAGGCGAGCCCTGGCGTATGAGATCAATAGTGGCCCAATTCGTGTATAGCGCGTAGCTAATATAGTGCAGGTTGTTCTTGTAATCCTTCCGCAGAATGGGTATCCATGAGGCGATTAGGGTAATCACCCATGCCCACCACGTTCCGCAACCGTAGAACCCGTTGATTTGGGAGTAATCGGGTGAGGATTCGGACATTTCGATAGATGCGTTAGGCTGTTGCGGTGTTGCTATGCCTTCCAGGAAAAGGACAAAAGTCAGAGTGTGCTATCGGATTCGAACACTCGTGGAGATGGATGAGACCGCGGCTTTAGATTGCCGTAGTTTGATGTGGTTTGAGATGGTTCAATGACCAGCGCGGAGTAAGATTAGGCTGCAGTTTGAGCATAAGCGAGTGATAACAAGGCTGGTCGTCGGGATTCGGCAGGTGCGGTCGTGAGTGAGCCACCACTCTCTCAGCTTTGCGCCGAAAAACTCAAACTGTGCGAAAGTAGGTACTTTACACGCAAAGAGTTGGGGGAAGACGGTGATGTGGAGTAAACACGACAACATTCGCCAGCGGCGGTTGACCCTGACGAAAACACGCTTGCGCTCAGCCACATTCGCCAAAGCGTGGGGGCCGTTTTTAAAGTTCATTAGCCTCGAACAGCCACCACCAAATCGCCAGTCAGTAGGGAGAAGCCTTTGATGGGGCGTAAGTCTCGGAAAATAATTGTAACGTAGCTATCTTCGCACTCCATCCATCACGGCCTAAGCCCCTCCGGCGACCCCTCTTCTCTATCTTCCTCTCCCCCTCCCCCTCTCCTCCTCATCCTAAACCACCCCCCAACCCCCCCTCTCCCTCTCCCCTCCCCAACCACCTCCCCATCCCTCTCCCCCATCCCCACAACAACCAACTGCTCCCCCTTCCTCTTAACAATCCAATCAACCCTCATATCCCTCTTCTGCGGCCCCTCCTGCGGCCTCCCCTGAAACAATCCATCCGCGGGCGGAGAATGATATCCCAGGACAAACAGGACAAGCGGCTCGCACAAATCCGTGATGAGTTTGATGCGTAGCAGCACGGCGAAGTAGATCAGGATGAAGATGTTGATGAGGAGGGTGAGGGCAAGGACAACAAGGAGCGCTTTTTGGTAGCTCTTTTCGCCGCCGGACATGTACTGTGCTACACGGACGGAAGCGTTGAAATACTGCATTTGGGGTGTGGTGAAGTCGGCGGCGGAGGTGGGGGAGAAGGGTTGGAAGGGGAAGTTTTGGGTTAGGTCGAGGACGGTGCATGTTGTCATGCTCAGTAATGCTTCCGCAGGACTCGGTAAGGTCTTGTTGAGTTTGGGTTCTGTGAGTTGGAGTTGGGTGAATATACGGGCTGTTGAGGCGTCGCCGTCGAAGACGCCGTTGTTTAGACTGAGGGAGTTGAGGAGGTTGAAACCTAGGTCGCGCCAGCCGACTAGGGCTGTTCTGTCGTCGGTGGAACGCAGGGGTTGGATGGCGGAGTCGTCGCTGTGCTTTCCGTTTGCGTCGTCGCAGACTGCTTCGAGGCTTTGGCCGCCGGATGAGGCGTTGTAGCGTGTAGTGCAGGAAGTTGTGATGCCGGCTTTCATGGAGCAGAGAAAGTAGTCTTCGGTGGTGTTGTCGGGAGCTTTGCCGAGCAGGTAGACTTCTGGTCGGTCGCCGAGCTCGTACGGTACCTGAGTGTGGTTTGCGATCTACCCGATTAGTCCATCATCTTCTAATTAGAACAAACCCACTTACTGTGTTTCCTGCTTTCGGGTACTTGAGAAAAACTGTGTGACATTAGCATAAATCATTCAGGCAGAGGACCGGACTAACTTGGTCTAGCACGCGAGTGATCTTCCGTCTCGTCCTTCCACCCAAACACATCATCGAGCACCGTTTTGTTGTTCGTGTTGGTACCTTCTGGAAACCCTAGGATGGGCCACCAGTTGACTGACTTCGAGCCTTCTTCCATAGGAATTGCATTGGGCCAATTGGTATATATGAGTGGAGCGAGCTCTTCCTCTTTGGCATTGACACAGAGTGCGTTCAGTGCGAAGCTGGCTACTGAAGCGTGGATAGAGTAAGAGCCACCATCATGCAGATCCTGAAAGGATTAGTATGGTACGAATCTGGCATGTATGATCTACCCACTTCTGGCTGCAGCAAGTCATTCTGGACATTGCGAGCTGCTGCCGGTATCCCTCGATGAGGGACGGCTATAGTGATGTTGTTGACTATACAAGATTAGCGACGTAAGATCAGAGGAACTTCGGCCACGTACTTATCCTGCCTGCCTTCTCAGACTCGGCTGCGACGTCATGATCATCAAGCCACGCAGTAGTAACAGTGACGTTGTTGTCTAGCGACGCACTGATCGGCTTTCGTTCCAGAAGGCGCTCAGACATCCAAGCAGGGTTTGTTGCAGCTGCTTGATCGTCCCATGCTGACATGTATTTGATGAAGTTGCGGCCGCATAGCGAAGACCATTTCATAGCGAGACATGTGCTACCGCCCCACTGTGTGTCGCCGACATCGGGCCAGGCAGTGAGACAAGTCTTATCAGCTTTCAAGGTGCTGGAGAAGTCGCCATCTACTTGACCAGCAAGCATTTGATGCTCCCAAGGCGGGAGGCGTAGCTGTGGTTGCACTGAGATGTGTTAGCGACTTGTGGTAGAAGACCAGGGGTACTGGCATACCAAGAGCACCTGCAGCGGTTGTATACAGTAGAGAGAGAATGGCCGTAATCAGTGAGAGCACTCCCAATACACTGAAGCCAGCGACCCTGACGCTGTGCCACCCGCTGAACAATTTCCCTGGTTGACTTTCCAAAATCAGCCAAAGTGAGCGCTGGCCAGAAACACGGCCAACTTACAGAATCCAGGATCGCATCGACACACTAGCCAGATTGATACCTTTCTGCTGAATAGCTCTTCGCGACAGGACCTGCCCTATGAACGCCAAGAATACCATCACGAACGATAGCTCGACAGTCTTGGCGATGAAAGCCGTCAATAGCGCCGCCGAGGAAGGGGAAAATCGCCCACGTGCTGATACGACATGTCCATACTTTGGCTGTATCAAGGCGACGATGAAGAACAAGGCCGAACATAACGTCGAGTATAATGACGTCAATAGTAGTGTTATTGAATATCCGCTTCGTTGTGGTTCAAGTAGGCCTTGTGTGTACAAAAGTGGTAGCATGCTCCTCGAGCTATCTAACCATATTGAGCATTCCACGCAGACAAATCAGGGGGTCGTCTTACTTTTGGAATCAGCGGTGAAGCTCCTCATGCTGCGTCCATCCGCTGGACTAAGGAAGGGGTTCTCCGCAGCGTCGTCTCGTGGGCTCGCCATACTGTCGGGATGGTGGCCGTAACCAAGACCATGGACGACCCGCTATATACGCGAAGAGAGTCTGAAAATCAAGGATAAGCGAAGGATGGGGCGCAGGTCGCAGATGCGGCGCGGTGAGGTGAAGCAGGTTATGATTATTTTAGTGGTTTCAGAGCGGCCGAGCGGTCGTCTGCGCCCCACGTCAGCGCCGTTGATCGTCTAGCAGATCACATTATCGGATGCGACGGAAACTGAGGAATACGATGTCAACCATCTAAATGCCATTATTTCTGATCTAACATGTGCTTGAACTTTTCGATCTGCATTATTGTCAGCAAATTTTGCATCTCGATGTGTCGCAATCTGGCGTGGGCTCACCTTGGTACTAAGATACTTCTCTACTTCTTCGCTCTTGATGCCCTTCATGCCGCCTGTTTTCCACGCAAGCGGAACCATGGCGACGCGCTCCCTCACGACGACTTCTCTATTCGGCCCCTCGACAGCATGGACTTTATCTGGGTTGTTGGTCAAAAGTCTAATCCCTCTGTCTCCGTCTAAGCCCAGATCCATGAGCATAGCCGTGGCCAAGCCGTAGCTTCGCGCATCTGCAGGATGCCGTAACATGATGTTTGCTTCGTATGTGTCGTTGCCTAGATCTTGCAGATTGTATGCCTTGAGCTTTTCGCCTAGACCAATACCACGACCCTCTTGGCGGAGATAGATAATAGCACCACCAGAAGGTGACAGAGTAGGATCGGCCATAAGCCGCGCGGCTTCGTCGAGCTGCTCACCGCAGTCGCAGCGCGCAGACCAGACAGTCTCGCCCGTGTAGCATTCGGAGTGTATGCGGACCATAGGTAATTCTAGCGAGGAAGCTGGCTGCACGTCGCCGTTCTCGGATGAGGATGCAGAGGCTGGCGACAGCAGGCCGTTGCTCTTATCCACGTGCGCCGAGTCGGCGTCGGGCTTGCGCTTCGTGGGCACGCCCTCCTGCCTCTTGAGCTGCTCAACCCGCGAGCTGGTTCTCCCCGGGTACAGGCGTCCTACGTATGCGCCTCTCGTCATGCGGTCTAGCTCCGTCTCTCCCGGGCGCTCTGCATCCAGCGATCTCGAGCGTATTTGGCTCCCAAAGACAATTGCCAGGTGCTCCTTGGTGTCTACGCTGTTCCTGTACACGTGCAGCCACATCTCGTGCCCCGTGGTTGTGGGTATCCGCGCACGCACTTCGCACTCGACTGTGGGCAGCTTGGGCAGCAGATCCGGCCGCGGCGTGTCGGTGCGCACTGAGGTATCGACTGGTATGGAGCGGGGTGGCCGGGGCCGCGAGGGGGTCGAGACGCCCGGTGTCGCTGGAGGCGTGAAGGCGGGCGATATTATCGAGGGCGGCGGGCTGTGGTGTTCATCGCCGTTTGCGACCCGTTCCGGCGTCTCTGCCTCGAGCTGTGACGTCTGGAAGTCGAAGCCGTCTCGCCCGGCGCTCGAGAGGTGTGGTGAGAAATGCGGCGGGAATGCGGTCATGTTGGAGGAGGGCATGTTGGAGCGGGCATATAAAATAGCACAGACGACAAGTGAAAGGGCAGGGTAGTAGCTCTAGTACTGCAATCGCATCGCAAGTGAGACTGAAGGCGTGAGGTACTCTCCAGCGCCAGTGGGGTCGAATGACTGAATGACATATCCGAAGCCGCTGCTCGGACCCGCCGCCTTCTAGCCGCGGCTGCGCAAAATCACTAAGCACACCACTTGTGTCAGCAATTAGGAATCGGGGTAGACGCTTCCGACGATTATTTCCCCGACTCGGCTGACTGCCTAGCCGTGAGGTCGGAGCAATTGCACAGCTGGTTTTCGGGATGAACATGTGACTCGAGAATTCCGATTTTCTGACTACAGATCCTTCCTTCACATGCGAACGCATTCTTTATATTGACCTCAGCTCTGCGTTCGAAAGTGCCTCTTTCTGTGCATCCCAGGCAATTGCTAATTCGGCCAAGAATGCGGCTTCAGGATCTTCGGCATTTTCGAGATGACCACTACGTAGAGAGGGAATTGGCTTGGATTGTGAAGAAATTGTGCGAAGGCGCTTTGCCGGTGACGTAGCGGGCTGCTCGACCTTGTACCAGAATCGACAAAATCGGCCCTGTCAACCCTTGACATCGCACGAATCAATCCACCCGGCGCTCCCTACCCCAAACCTCGTCTGCGTTCTTCTTGCCTTTCGTCTCGGGCACAAACCACGTAATGAAAACGAAGAAGAACGCTGACAGTGCCGCGAAAATGAAGTAGACATATCCGTGCAGCTTTGCGCTTGCCAGCGGGAAGAACTGTGCCACAATGAATGTAGCGATCCAGTTGGCTCCGAGCGCAATACTTTGTGTTGCGTCGACAGCATCCGGGCCCACCAGCTCGCTCGCTAGGATGAAGGGCACCGGGCCAAGACCAACAGCGAAGCCGGATACGAACAGCAGGACAGCAACTGCGGAAAGGACAGAGATCGACTTGATGATACCAATAGCAAGTAGCAGCGAGCTCGTTCCCATGATGGCAAGGGAGCTGAGCAGGCAGACCTTGCGACCCAGCTTGTCAGCAAGGGGCGCGCAGCCGGCGGTGACGATGATGTTGAGCGCTGAGACGGCAAGGTTGAGCAGCGCAGAGTTGGACTCGAGTAAGCCTGCTAGGAGCGACACGCCGTACATGACGATGCTGTTGATGCCGCTGAATTGCTGGGCCAGCATGACCATGACAACGGCAATGGCGGCCTTTTGATAGTCAGGATGGCGGAAGACTTGCATGATGCTCAGCGTCTGTTCTTTGCCTGACTCCTTGGGCCTCGCCTCAGCCGACCCATCTTGGTTGCTCAGTAGTGTCTGCTCCTCCTCTGGAGAAATATTAGCATGCTGTCCATCAATGAAGAGGCTTAGACGACGTACCACTGACGTTGCCGGAGCCCGAGACTCCCCAGTCGTTCATCTCGTCTTCAATGTCTGCATGTTCTCCCCTGATCTTGCGCAAAGTCTTCTTCGCGAGCGAGACACTACCCTGCTCTGCGATGTACTTTGGGCTCTCGACCGACAGCAGCAGTCCGGCGCCTTGTACAGCACCGATGACACCTCCAATAGCCAAGATGAGCCTCCAGTAAGAGTCGTGGCTCAAGAAGTAACCCAGCAACTGCGTGATCAGGATGCCCACGTTGCACCCGATCTGGGTAAAGGCACCGAAGAAGCCCTTCTCGCCCGGCGGTGCAATCTCAGAGATGTAGAGGGGCACAATGACGACGGCCGCGCCTGCACCGACTCCTGACAACAGCCTTCCAAACGCCATGACTCCAATGTTTGGGCTCAGCGCCTCGAAGATCGGGCCCACGGCGAAGAAGATGGAAAATAGCTGCATAGACCTGAGGCGGCCGTATTTGCCTGCCACTGGCCCTGCTGAAAGCGCTCCTACCAGACCTCCCAATGTGTACAGCGATCCCACGACGCCCCATTCGGTTGGGCTCATCTCGATGCATTGCGGGAGGTTCGGGCCAGCGACGGCCGACGTGATGGACTTGCGTTTACAGCGGATGACATCTTCGGGCGCGTTCAGCTCAGACTGGGCGTGTTAGCTATGCGCCGGCAAGCATGACGTTGGGACCCACCAGGTGAAAGCCGAAGAGGAGCGGGCCGAGGGTCGCAATGGACAGGATGTAGACAAAGTAGCCCGTCAGGCTGCTGAACCAAGAACGCGGGTCCATGGTGGGGGTCTACGTTACGTGGTAGAGGTGAGGTGTGAGGTTTGGAGCGCCGTTGTAGCTTCCTGGACGTGTCAGCCGCCTCGTAGAACGTGACATCGCGATGACGATGCTGCACCGCGCCTACCTGTTCAGAGCGCTCAGATAAGAGCGATAAGGGTCTGGTTATCACCGCATAGACATGGAGGTTCCAGGGCTGTTATGAAGCTTGAGGTTTCACGGTGGTGGCATGTGAAGCTTGGACGACGACTGGCCGAAGCAAGTGGTTGGGTCCAAGATTGAGGCTCTGCGGGGAGCCATACTTGGTAGGCTCCATTGATACGTGATTGGAACCTGTTTCTCAACCCAGAGACCCTCTAAACCTCAAGCCAGACATTCTGCACATTCCGCGCATCTATCGACACGGAAGCTCGCCATCTCGGACCGCGTCCCACACGTGCAGGACTCACCGGAATAGTTCCGTGGACGCGTTACGGCCGCGTCGGGCGTGGAGACGTCAGCTAAACGAGAGGCTGAGGCAGATGGCAAAAGCATGAGCCAGCGCTCCAATTCCCCGCCGGCCTCGTCGGCTTCTGTTGCGGCATCCGCCCGAGCCCCATCGCGCAAGAACAGCACTGCGACAGCTCCCGACGGTACGCCTCTGCTTTCTCTACGTGTCCATCAGTCATCCTCTCCTGTATGTTCGCGTGTCTTTCCCCGTCCAGCCTCCCCTCAAGTCACCGTCGCTTCACGTTGCCTCATCTGGCGCCACTGCCTGCGTGATTGTTGTTCCTGCCGTCAGCAATTGCCGTTCGTGTCCGCATCACCCCCTTCTGTTGACGTTGCTGGACCCTGCTGCATCTTCCGAGCTATCATTTCTACATTAGCCCCTAAGAGCGAGTACTAAACCTGTTCCTGAAGACCCGCTAGATTCCGTTGATGCCATGTTCACTGGCTACAACAACAAGAAGCGAGTCACAGAGCGCTACAAGATCGTCGGCTTCATCAGCAGCGGTACCTATGGACGCGTCTACAAAGCCGAGGGCAAGAATGGCCGCACCGGCGAGTTCGCCATCAAGAAGTAGGTCGAGCGGACCTTGACCGTCGTATCTGCTAATGCGCCCAGGTTCAAGCCGGACAAAGAAGGCGAACTTCAATACTCTGGCATTTCGCAATCAGCCATACGCGAGATGGCGCTGTGTACTGAGCTGGCACATCCCAACGTCGTGCACACCGTAGAGATCATCCTGGAGGACAAGTGTATCTACATCGTCTTCGAATATGCCGAACACGACTTACTGCAGATCATTCACCACCATAATCAACCCCAACGGCAGGCGATACCTGCACCGACCATCAAGTCTATTCTTTATCAGCTGCTGCAGGGACTGGTTTACCTGCACCGGAATTGGGTCATGCACCGCGATCTCAAGCCTGCTAACATCATGGTCACCAGTGCTGGCAAAGTCAAGATAGGCGACTTGGGTCTTGCTCGCTTGTTCTACAAACCGCTGCAATCTCTCTTCTCAGGCGACAAGGTCGTCGTGACAATATGGTATCGCGCACCTGAGCTCCTTCTCGGCAGTCGTCACTATACTCCTGCAGTCGATCTGTGGGCGGTGGGGTGCATCTTTGCCGAATTGCTATCCCTACGGCCCATCTTCAAAGGAGAGGAGGCAAAGATGGACAGCAAGAAGACGGTCCCGTTCCAGCGCAACCAGATGCAGAAGATAGTCGAGATCATGGGCATGCCAAGCAAAGATCGGTGGCCGCTACTGACGGCCATGCCCGAACATCCTCAGCTCTCGTCCCTGGCCTCAGGCAACGCTGCACGATTTCCGCGTCCTCAAGGTGGCGATGGCTTAGAACGATGGTATCACCAGACCCTCAACAACAACCAGTATCCAATAGGCTCTGGACCAGATACACCTGGACCCGAAGGACTCTCTCTGCTCAAACAGCTGCTTGAGTACGACCCCCAGAAACGACTCACAGCGGAGAAAGCGCTGTCACATCCCTATTTCACCGTTCACGGCAAACCAGCCGACAGCTGCTTCGAGGACTCGAAGATCAAGTACCCCGTCAGGAGGGTCAGCCAGGAGGACAACGATATCCGCACGTCTAGTCTACCAGGTACTAAGAGGAGTGGCCTTCCGGACGACTCAATCATTGGACGTCCCGCCAAACGTCTCAAGGAAGGATGAAGAGACTCGACACCACACTGTTGTGCTGCGCTGTGATCTGTACGGGCGATGCAATGCAGCTGCCCGTGTGTACGTACTGCCACAGTCGTTGCGGCAAATTTATCCCTGGTTGTCGGCATGGTGTTACCTGACCGGACCGATGAACAGTGGTCTTGGCGGCGCAGACGGCTCTGTGCGAGTCACCATCTTACACAAGCGTCTTGGTGAGGATCTTGGGACGCTCTCGGCCCTAACGTTGGTGTGACACGAGCACGGCGGGAATCTGATGCTGTACCAGCATTAGTCGATAAAGTGGTCCACGACGACGCAGGGGCAACGCGTTCGATGAGCAGGTGCGAGTACACTGTCCTGCTGTATCGGTTTAGTGGGATCCAGGTTGCGCGAAACCCTGGTAATGGGCTCTGAAACCAATGGTACGTCTTGTCTGTATTTGGGAACTGCGTTCCGTTCGTACTGGGAGCAGAACAGCGTACAAAAAGGATCCTTGGGCGTTTTAGCACCTACGCTGCGTCATCGCGACGGCGTTGGTCTTGAGACATTCAAGTCAGCCTCTCTTACCCTAACGCATACACAACGAGGGAAAGACGTCCTGTCAACGGCAGCCACCAAGTACAAGTGCGACGTTTCCCAGGACCAAATGGTCTTCGACACCACCTGGGCCGAGTCGAACGACCGAGGCAATGCTATCGCCATGCCTCAACGGTGGCGCTAGACTAGATCATCATTTAGGCATTCATACCACATATTGGGCCCTCTGTTACTTCTTCTACCAATCCCAGCCTGCCATAGAGGGACTATACTAAGTCGCGCTGCGCATGCTCATCTGGCTCATTTGTCGTCATCTGTCGCGAACGCCATCCTGCGTGCTTGTGTTGCCGTTCTCCTTCACATGTCTATTTTGTGCGTTGATCTAACGATGTATGGAATTACAGCTAGCGTAGTGGGCTCCACGAGGTCACGGTAGAGGGGTAGTGGTGTGTGAACGGCGCGCACGCATCCAGTTCGTGGTCAGCGTTTGGTGATACCTTCAAGTAAGTTCGCAACAGGGTAGTGGCAACGCAGTGAAGAGACTAATCGAGTAGCAGGCCTGTACCGCTACTTGGCGTCTGCGAAGCGCAACGGGCTTGTCCTACCTCTCGTCTACCCCGGCTGAGATTACACGAACGACCGCTGCAGCAGGTCTGCTGCCTCTGCTCATCATTCACCGTCAACGGTGCTCAATGCCGGACTGCTCTCTCTTGAAGTAGGCACCCGGCTGGTTGGTGCGCCTTCCGCAATCGTCTGTTTGCGGCGCTAGTACGTGAAGCCAGGCGCAACCATCAACAACACGCCATGGTGGACGTCAGCCCACGTCTTTGACCATATAAACCCCAGCGACCTCGTTTCCTTCTTACTTCGTCACTCGTTCAACCTATTTTCGCTCCTTAGATTGCCTTTCATTTATTCGCTTCGGTCCAGTGCCTGGCATCTCAGCTGCACTTGCTACCCTCTCACCTCTACCAACTGCACCTCTCCCTAGGCCATTCTTCTACATATCGACGACCGCATATCTCAAAACCTAGCCATGAAGTTCTTCGCCAAACTCCTAGCTCTGACGGCAGCTACTGCTTTCGCCGCCCCTAGGCACGAGATCAAGCACCGAGATCTCGTCGCCGATGACGCTCCACACCAGGACGACCCAAATTTCATTAGTGCCGTCATGCGAGCTCATTGGTACTGGCGCAAATTGCATTGCGCGCAGGACCTTATTTGGGACACTGAGCTTGCCGACGCTGCGCGGGCTGACATTGAAGAGTGTCCAAAGGACCCTGAACACGTACGTAGTTGGCGCGATGACAGTCATGGCACAGCTGACATGAACAGAAACGCTCCGGCAGTAACCTCTCTTCCGTAAACCCACCTCCTGACGGTTACGACGCTTGGATCGAGTTCGCCCGCACTGCCACGCACGGCTGGCACGAAGAGGAGACCAAGTACCCCTACGACAACCCACACTTCGATGCAGCATGGGGTCACTTCACGCAGATGGTGTGGCGCAACAGCACACGTCTTGGCTGTGCTCTTGGACACTGCGACGACGGCGTTAATTGGCCGGGTCGCTTCTACTGCTGTAAGTTGAACGCGCCGCAGCTCGAGGGCATCAGTGCTGACACTCACAGACTACTCGTTCTTTGGCAATAACATTGCGGCTGGGCAGTTCGAGGCTCAGGTATGGGCGCCTGTATGCAGTGACCCCAGTGTTGGCGAAGTCCAGGCGCGCGAGGATGTCAACTTCGACTGGAAGCGAGTCTGAAACGCTCACGCTCCAACGTGACACTGCGCTTCGCGTGCCGCCTGCGTAACGATGTTCACGACAGCGTCTCCTTTCCTCACCACCCTTGTTTGGCGCTATACCCTGTCCACGGATCTCATTTCGCACATACTTTGTCTACTTGGAGATGTGCTGCCGCTTGTCTGGCATGCCTGGTCATATCATTGGTCTTGACTACACCTCTGGTGTTCTCTTCTCGATGACCGGTTCAAGTGGTTGGCTATGATAGGATGTGTTGAGATGCTGTTGGGCAATGCTATGGTGTAGCCTCTTGGTTATGGTTAGACGAAATGCAAAGGCTTGGTTACAAATTAACTTCTTGAACTTCTTTTCCCATTTCAAATGTTGCTGTGTCAGTCACTGCGAAAGACGTCGTGAACTGAGCACGAAGATTCTCCAACTTTTGTTACGTCAAACGATGAAAGCTAGCAATCATGGTTGTTTGTTGAGGTGGCATATTATGAAGGCATTTCAGACATGAATCGATTCCATACTTTGTCAACTAGGGA